GCAGAGCCACACTACGAGGATCGGCGAGATCACCGGGATATTGTTGATTGAAAGGAAGAATTCTTTCAAGGAAAAGATACATACGAAGAAGGGGAGAGTTCGGGGGAACTCATTGCAGGCACTTTGGTCTCCAAGTGGGAGATTGTTAGTCTAAGGTGTAGACCCAAAGTTCGAGATGAAAGCTAGAATCAAAAGCTCAGAAAAACACGCAGACAGATCGGCGGTCGACCGGGTCGGTCGACCGCAAACGTGCACAGCGATTTTAGGGTTTGTACTACATCAAAAAGAGAGCTTTTTGACTGCAAAGAGAGAGAGAATCTCAGAGAGATTTACCCCTTGTTTGAGAGCTTGTATTTTCTTCTTCAATTAATAGAAAGATTGTGTGGTGTGGCTCCCGAGGACGTAGGCACGTTGCCGAACCTCGTTAAATCTGTGTGTTCATCTCCCTTACTGTTTTTTGCAAGTTAGATCTTTATTTGTGGTTTTATTCCTACTTTCCTACTTTCAACACAAGGTTCGGAAGGGCAAGGGTTCGATTGATTGTTTCGAATCCCCAACACACGTCGTCAAATCATTCATATGTCTGTCTTCAATGTGTCAAAATAGTTTTTGTTGTTACGAACGTGCATAGAAGCTGCAGAGTCTAACATCCAACTGTTACTTGTATCAGTACTTGCACTCTACATTAACAGCACCACATCTTCATCACACATAACTATCGAGGAGTCCACCTTCTTTCCATTTTCTTAAAGCTTCATCTGTTTAATAATCTTCAAATCATCTCGCGTCTAGGAATATCTGAACTAAATGTGACCCTTCTCTCTACAATAATAGCACTCCCTTTCGCTGTCATCTCAGGCCCGAGATTTTGACCTTCCTCAAAAACTGTCACATCTCCCCTTACTCCTCCCTCGATTAGAACCTTCAAAAGCCAGTACACTCTGACTATCATTAAATGCACTCTCCTTTCCTATTATTCTTTCATTCTCATGTAGGAGTGTTGTCACATCGTCGAACTTCAAAGTCTCCTTCTCTGCAATTATTGTTTGAACTAACGGCTTGTACGATTTCGGCAAAGAAGGCAGTAGGAGTAGCGCTTGCTCTTCTTCTTTAATCTCCTCATCAATATTCATAAGTTGGCAAACTAACTGATTAAAGGCATTAATGTGGTCTTGAATTACTATACCTTCTTCCATCGTTAATGAATAAAGCTCAATCCTCAAATTCAATCTGTTGGTCATCAACTTTTACGCATAAATCACCTCAAGCATTTCCCATAACCCCCTTGGTGTGTCTCCGGCATAACATTGTACTTGATCTCGGAGGCGAGTGCCAAATGAATTATGCTAACCGTCCTCTTTTGCAAGGAACTTTATTCAGCATCCTTCAATCATTTAGGTTTTTTCTCCTCCAAAGCTTAATCAACACCCTGCTGCACAAGAATATTTTGAACCGTATACTGTCATACTATAAAATTTGTCTTGTCGTTGAATAACGGAATATCAAACTTCGGACCCAAAGAAGTCATCATCCTCTAACCATAATCAAAATTCAAATCAGTCACTGTAGAGATTGAATTTGATAAAATCGATGTTAAAAACAAACTCAGCACGTCAAAAAACCCTAGGAATGACTCCTGAATCACCAAAATCCACCTCCAAACCCTCGATAAAAAGATAAATCAATCTGCATCGTCAGATTTGATTTAATAGTTTGTAACCAAACCCTCACCCACGTGAACGGTGTTCTCACCGCTATAGTATTCACGTTGTTACAGTACTTTTCTTTTTTTTCCAATGTCGATCACCGCGCTTCGACCACTGACGCCTTCACCAATCGCACACGGCTCCAACCTCCACAGACCGTCGAATCCCGCTCTGATACCACTTGTTGGGATTTCTAGATACCACAAAAACTCCAAAAATCATCAAACGCAGCAAATAGAATCACACTAGATTTAACGTGGAAAACCCTCAATAGGGAAAAACCACGGTATCAAAATCAATCCACTATCACCTCCGAATTACAATCTTTTGCACGGACAAAGACTGCCAAACCATCTCTCACACAATACCCTTAAACTCGGTTACACCCTCTAAAACCCTGATTACAAGAATATTGTCTCTCTCCTTCTATCTACTCTAAAACCCTAGAATATGACGCCTTATTTAAAGACACATCTGACCTACCCACCAAGTTAACTTGACCTCTAAGAAAATTACTATGATTGAGCCTAGCCTTTAAACCCGCATCTGACTTGGAGTTTGAGTCGGTACCCAACAAAAACTTAGACTCATGCAGTGGTATCAATGTTTTTACAAATCTATTTTTAATTAATGATCAATGAAATTTGAAGATAGGTCGCTTTGGTCATTTGTAGATTCAGAATTGTTAGAAAGTGGTGTCACTATATGATTATCAATTACAAAAATTTACAATTGTTTACAATTTGTTTTTATGTTTGATAAAAAGTACACAAACGCATCCTTAACAACACTATCAGATACATCATTCTCAATATATGTTACTAATTCTGGGATTCCAAATATATTATCCTCAATACATGTCACTAATCACGGTTCCCCAATTTGAACTTTGAATTGCATGATGAGTTTTTTAGTGATAAATTTCAAAAAATTGCTCTTAAGTTTGGGTGTTCCTCCAATGACCTCCTTAACTTTCAAATTGTCCCAACATCCTTCTCAAGTTTTGGAGCTCTTAGGAAAACCCTACAATACTCAACATCTTTCGGGGGGAAAAACCTAACATTACTGACCGTTGTTTTCACATGATACAATTAACTTTTTTTTAGGGTTTTTTGGTAAATAATGAAAATCGAAAGTGGTTTTCTAAGAAAATCCAAATTTGAGTGGGGATTTGTGAAATATACCCTTGCAAGTGAGTTATTGATCTACCTTGATCAAAATGGGGTAATGTGACCTCACTTTTATCAACGTGGATCCGCCATTGGCTTTGGTGCTATATCAAAGAACATTGCTAGTGCATTAAAAATTCAAAGTTGTGGTGAAGACTGAGATCTATAGTTTTATACTTTAATAACAACAACAAAAATAACTACCATTTTTTTTTTTTTTGCATACCCTATGAAATTGTATGATCCATTTAATCAATTATGAGCTGCAAACAAAAAGATGTACAGTTTACACTCTTCGCACTAAGAAGTGAAAAAAATGAATAGAATAAGATTTTATACTCATAGAAGACTCTCTAGTCTCTACCTCGTGTGTGAAGCTTCACAAGTCGTAAAGCAAAGTTCCACGGCGGCAAGAAAAGGTAAAAGTTTAATAAATTAATATTTCAAAGAAAATGTAACCCTCCAAGAGATCTCCCACGATAGCACATTCAAATTTAGAACCTAACATATGAAGCCCTAACACCTAGTGAATCTAGACTAAGGACAATCACACTCATTAATTACTAATATTGTAATTAATCTGTTCGTCAGATAAAAGTGAAATCCCTAGCTTTTGACAATGAGCTTTTTCTCAAAAAAGGATTATTGACAAACTTGTGTCAATGGTGTGCTTCATAATCTGTAGCCTCAATTATAGGTAAAAGATGGACCTACGTTGGGCCTAAACTTGGCCCATCCAACTTTGAGTTTGGGTGGGGGTCCGATTTCCATAAGTGGTTACGGCTGGCCTCAGTTTTCAGACCTGAACGTGACTTCAGCTGACCTACCTTAAAAAGAGTGGGGAAAAAGATCAAGATCGTGCGCTGAAAAATATCAGGGTCAGGTCCAGGTCTCGTCGGAATTGGGATCCGACCGGACCCGTTAACACTTATCGGCTGGCCTCCTCAAAGCAATCTTATGATGATACCAAGTCTGTCAAGTGTTAGTCCATTGCAAATTGGTTCTAATCCTACGATTAAGGCTATAACTCGGTTTGCCAATGTCAACAAGTCGAGGTGACACCTAACAATAAATTTTCGTCAAGTCAAATTTTATGGGCTGTTTGGATAGGTTTTTTTGGGTGGTAAAAAAGGAGAAAGCTGCAAAAAATGTCAGCTTTTTGCCAGCTTTCCCCCAAAATCACCTTTTTAAGAGGTGATTTTGGGGGAAAGCTGCTAAAACGCTGATATTTTTGACAGCTTTCCCCACTTTTACCACCCAAAAAACAGGAACCAAACAGCCCTAGGGGCTGTTTGGTTGTATGTTTTTACAATATAAAAGGATGAAAAGTGTAAAAAAGTGGGTCCCAATGTCAGTTTTCATCACTTTCAATTGTTTGTTTGTAGTTATGAAAATAATGTAAAGTGATTTCATATGCTAATGTGGCTTGTAAAGTGATTTCATAAAAAAACATGATTTTAGAGAAAGCTGACATTGAAGTCAGGAAAAAATAATAAAAAATAATTCCAACCAATATGATCATTTGAGTAGGGATCACTTTTTATACTTTCCAAACAAACAATTAAAGTTACATTTGCAAACCAAACAAGCAATTTATGATTCCAATGGAATAAAAAACAAACAAAGAAAAGTATAAAAATGAAATTGATGAGGTGGACAACAACTTTCCAAGTTGTGTCATAAATACACAACTTTACCAACAACAACCAAACAGCCCCTTAATAGGATTATCCACGTTCTGGTACCCTGTGGTATAGTATAATTACAAATGTAACCCTGAGGTTCATGTATTTACATGAATAAAATTGAAATTACTGACATAGATTACACAAGTAACCCCAAGTAAAACTTAGCATTGCTTTCATTAAGGTTATCCGTGATATCAGGATTAATCATGTAGATACATAGAACACGGGATCACTCGTGCATGTCATAGGGTACCAAGATGTAAATAATTCTTTTTAATTATATGCACCGAACTCGGCTAAAGTTAAATTAAGGAAAAGAAGAGATTATTTTAGTCCATATTCTTCTACAACAGCACATTTATGAAATAAAGACAGACAGCTGTCTATGAAACTTACAAGTACCGTGACAAATTTTCTTCCAAGAAAATAATACAATGTAGAAGAAGAATACTTTTTTTTTTTTCCACACAGAACCGCCATTTTCAACTTAAACATCGGTTTTCATGTTGCATTACAAATTTAATTTAGCAAGTTTTATATCAAATTGCAAAGGGAACATTTTTTTTTAAACCAAACAATTGTTGAAAGCAATTTTATACTTTCCCCCAGGAGAAGCTTCTCCATTACCAACGACTTCCTTGCTCCCAAGTAACATCTCTATCATGCATTAACCACCTGCTGGAAATAATTGGGGGGTAAAAAAAGTTTTTACAAAAAAAATTAACAGAAGCACGGAACTAAACTATATACTGGTGAAAATAAACGGGGAAATAATCCACCTCTCATTGTAAGGAAACAGAAATATAAGAACATGGCGTTACATAGTACTTTTTATCCAAGCAGCACAAATATTTCATCTCAACTTGAATAAAAAACAAAGCACTTTTTATCCAAGCAGCACAAATATTTCATCTTAACTTGAATCAAAAACAAAGCACAACAATATCGGATCGAATTCAAGTTGCAGAGGCTAGCACAACCAAAGCATTAAGGCGAATCATGGCCAGAGTTTAATGAATAATGTAGAATAGTCTCACAACACCAATATCTAAAACCATTCGTGCTAAGAACACAAAACAACTTTTTATTGAGAAATGCAAAAACATATGCCAAATAAACCAGTTAAAAGAATGCTGGGGTGTTTATTTCTAATAGAAGAAGTGATGCAGAAGAACGTATTAAAACCCGGGTCGTTGTTAGCCCTTGAATTTATCTCTAAATGTCATCAGTCACCATCTTTGTGCCTTGATTGTTATCCAGAAGTCCTCTTTAATCCATTAATAGACCCCTGTAGTATTCCCCAATAGCGGATAGACCCCAGTACTTCTATTGTTGCAGATAGATCCCCTGAGTGAATTTTTTTTTGTCGCTTTTACCTTTGAGCAGTCCATTTATCAAAAAAAAAAAAAAAACTTTCTCTGAGGGTAAAAGAATCTAAACAATTTTCTCTTTCACGTTAAATCATCCATACTACTATTAGAACCAAGTATTAGGGATAAAAGTTCTGTAGTCATAGTTATATTTTTAGTTTTGTGATCTATGCGGATGTATTGAAATATGACATGAAAGCTCTAGCATATGCTTATTATCCATACTAATATATAGTTTCCTTGTCTAAGTTTAGTTCATGAAACTCAATTACTGAGCTTGTAAGGTTTTACCTGTTTAGCTCAAGATCATATTTTACTAGTTTCTTTTATTTATTTAATAGGGTTGTTGATCAAGTATACTGATGTCTATTATGGCGAGTCTATCCTACACATGTAATGTAGACCTGAACCACTTTATATTAGAGGATCAAAAGCCAGAGTCTCAAGCATAATCAAAACTCAAATATGTGCAATGAATAGTTCCAATAAAAAAATAGAAAAAATCCTACAGGTGAATCAAGTGCTTATTTAACCATCCAAACCTAGATGAGTTTTCAAAAGACGCTACAAAAAATTTGCCAGAGAACATAAAAAACCTACCACTTCTTCATCAAGGAGTTTCTTCCAATGAAAATCTTTGGAGTACAGCTATTGTTTCTTCTCTTGCACTGCAAAAACAGAAAGCACCATCATTTACCACCTTTTACTAAGATCTGCCATGACTTACAAAGCAGCATACTTGATCAGTAACCAGCTTGCAAGCATTATTGCATATTATAAAGCTGCCGTCATCCTAATGTTTCTAAATCTAGTTAATAGAGAACGTTTGTGAAGGTAAATGATAGGCTCCCTAAATTGTAATATTTATCTCACCATGCTAAATCGTATCTTTAAGTTCACACCAAAACTACTGAACATCTAGTCTACATTGTATTTACAATGACCCTTAAGTGATGAATGTGCAAGTTTTATCAAGGAAAAAGCCTATAGATGGCCCTCTATAAAACATCGTATGGGGAAGAAAGGGATTGTGACACCTCGTATATCATGAATAGGGATGCACAGATATGATATGTGTAATTGTAGTTGTGATTGCACTTACATGCCCATAAATAGGGCTATATATAGGAATTTTTAATTGTTTATCAATGACCACAGACCTCCGCTTGTAGATTGGCCTGAAATGCTTGAGAAAAATAGGCAATGCACAAGGGGGGAAACTTGCTAAACTTATTCATATAAATCTAAGTGTCATAAATAGACTTGCAAGCTCCTTTTCCATCATTGATTAAAGCAAACTGACCAAAACTATTACTAAAGCAACGATCCAATTCCACAGCTACACCTCAGGCAAAGGCAGTAACATAGTTTCATGGAACCCAGTTCATTCCGGTTCATGGGATGGGTAAGGGAACGTGGTACGCCACTCGTTAGGAATCGGGTACGAGGAAGGTAGGCTTATATGGTACGTTAGGGAACGTGGTACGGTTTAGGTTCGGTTCTTAAATGCTAGTTAATATTAGTAATGGTAAAAGAACCTTAAGAATCATGTTGCAATTAAGATATGAATACTTTATTTGCTTAATTGCTCACATTTTTTTTGTTGTTTATTCTTTTAAGAAGAGTTCTTTTTGTTTTTTTGAAAATGTTAACTTGTTTGAATTCTAAATTGGGCTGCATGAGTTGGTGAATCGGGTCATGTTCCACGCGAAGCTAGGATGATTGAACCCGGGTCGTGATTCGCTATAGCATACCATGTTCCCGACTTCTATGGGCAGTAACATGCAACTAGGCAACTAAACTAAAAGTTGAAAAATAGGTCTATGACCACAAGAAAATATAAAATATTCTAGGCTAGTTATCTTCAGTACTTCAGGTTGGAAAATTATTGGAATGTCATGTTCAGAAAGGCTATCACATGGCCAGTTGATAGCTATCTAAAACAACATAATAAAATGATATAAAAGCATAATAAACACTGAGTTATGAATATGTCACCTTCCCGGTCTAAGAATCTTATATGTTCTTGGCTTTGTAAGATCCACAACCGTTGAACCAGCACGTCCACAAGGAAGGAGACCACCATCGTAAACGTATGCACAGTACTGCCAGAGGTCCTCAAAATCTCTGATGCTAACACTGCTAGGTTGCCCACTGAGGTTGGCGCTTGTGAGAGCCAGTGCACTTCCAGACCCTCGAGCAATAGAGCGAATAAAGTCGCAGTCTGGAACTCGTACACCAATGCTATCTAAACCTGGGTTCAGAGACTTCTCCAATATGCTAAAATCACCTGAAATATACAAAGTTTACGTTAGGATAGAAAAATAAATCGGGTAAATGGCACAAAAAACACTCTAAACTTCGGGTGGTTTTTGCCAAACCCTCCCAAACTTTATAATCAGAGAAAACCCCTCTTGAACTTTCAAACTTATACTAAACACCCTGAACTATTGGAGATTTCCATAAACAATGTTGACGGGTCAGGTATAAAGTTTGAATTACAATAAATAGAAACTGTGATGAAATTTTGAATTAAGAGCATTCATGTTCTTGAACAAGAGACATCAACCAGGTCATACTTTTAAGTTTTTATTCGACTTGTTAAGGCTATTTCTGAGATTTCAATATCTCAGAGGTGTCTCATGATTCAAAAAGTTTAGGGGTTTTTTTCTATATAAAGTTAACAGGAGTTCGTGCTAACCCCACAAAGTTCAACGTAGTTTAGTGAAATGTACCAAAGATTAAATACAAGAATAGAATATGCTTCACATGAAGTATCTCAAACCTCGCTTCAGAACTACAGTCACAGGTCCAGGAAGGAGGCTGTCTAGCAATCCATGAGGTAAATGATCAATAGTGGCAAATCGTGGTATATCTGACACATCAGCAACACATATTGCAAGAGGACTTGTCACTTTACGCCCTTTAATATCATAGATCTGGTTAACTGCTTGAGCTGAGCTGTCAGTGCATTAGCAAAGTTTAAAATCTTGACATACATTAAACAGCTAGTGTAGACCAAATTAAATGACGCGAGAAACTTACCAAATAAGAAAAAATAAAAAAGGATGCACGCACTACTTATGTGTATTTTCTTTTTAAAAAAGTGACCACAAACACAAATGAGAGGTAGACAAAAAACAAGTAAGGCGGGTTCCCAAAAATATTTAAATCACTAGCATTGCATTCCTGTGTTAAAGGTGGCCACAAATATTTGTTTGGATGTAATGACAACACAAGCAACAAGACTTCCTTGATTAGAGTAGATAAAAATAGAAAGTTGTATAAGCAGTACGGAAAACATGACTTGTTGATTGCCTTAAAGACTTGGTGAAGATAAATACAACTGTAAAAACTCCCATTTGATAGTGGTACCTCTTCCAACTATCAACCTTTTTTACTTATCCAGTTATCTATATAACTCATAAGTAACTTTGGTGGCATTTAAAGGAAAACTTTATTGCATTTAGGTAGGTAGTAACCAGGGTTATCATAATTGACACTTTTGTAACCTGAGAACACCGTTTTCTCCAAAAAGAGTAGTGCTTTTTTCTTTTCTTTTTTTCCTTTTTTTCCTTTGTAGAAAGTGAAAAAAGAGAATAAATGTCAACATAGTGAAGTTCGCTGACTATATAACATGGTAGGCATATGGGTGCAATGTAGGTGTAAGCTTCTATGATTAAGATACAGAACACATTGAAACTACGTGAGTCATGACCAAATTCACACTAACCACAGAACTTTAAAACAAATGTAATGCCACTGGATACATAGAGAACACATACAGCTCCTTGTCTACTCTTTTTTCAGCAGATACGAGTGCGGTGTAGAATCAGGCACTAAATTTTAGATTCTAGAAAGCTGTCAACTTTGCAGTGACTATTTACCATCTGAGTTCTGGTCAGGATACCAATTGCAGGAACCACATGAAATTTGAAGGATAGAATGTAATTTGGTACCTATATCATTGTTGAAATAATTTGGCTAGGAACCTCTATTAGACAGTGTGAGTCAGTGAGTAGCTTTCTTTATGATTTCTAAGAACAGGTGAGAAGGTCCAAATGCCGTAAATTTTAAAGAAACTTTCTGCAACTTATTTCTTTTCACGCAAACTGTGCTCCTCAAGTTGATTTACTTTCAACTCCTGGTCTCATTATATATGTGCCCCAAATACCATTATCGTAAGAAAAAAATTTCTCAATAACATAAGGATCCACACACAAACTAACTTGCAACCCCTATTAACCCTGCTAGCTCATAAATTTCATTGCTGGCGAACTGCATCCAAAAAATATAAAAAATGAAAACATGACTGCTTCTGTATTCATCGTGTTGAGCCTCAAAATCTTAGACATAGAATAACTGTTATTGTATATTAGCTAATCACAGCAATGTAGGACTTATCAGAACATATCAAATCCATGCATTCTAGGATGCCATTCGATGAATTGTTAGATTCGTTTATGGTTATCCATGGAGGGGGGAACCCATTATTACATTCACAAAGGCCATACTATTATACTAAAATGAGCTGACTAACATATTTAATACCTAAACAACTATTGTTATTTGATACGGTTCCTTTATAGAAAGCTATTATAATTGCTACTAAAGATGTTGCCTGGAGTCTGGACACTGCAAAACCTCCACATAGGCTAGTGTAGACCTTTATGGAATGGGTTGTGAAAATTTTGCAGTTATATATCCTGCTTGGAGGTGAAAAATATTGGATGTAGAGTTCAAGCAAAATGTATCAAGAGATTTTGTATTTGCAAGTTTAGCCAGTTTATTGTGCTAATTGATAGAATGCTGAGTCCTACAGAAAGTTGAGCATTTCTAGAATACTTTAATAGGCATTTGGTAAGTGATGAGTTATAAGGACAGAATTAGGTATATGAGTCCTTTGATCCTTTATGCATATGTTTTCCTTACTTATTAAAAGGTCTTTGTCTAGACTCTTAACTGAACAATGGTGTTTAGCTATACAGATTGAGGATGCCTTTGAGGATCAAACTTAGAATTATCTGAGAACTCCTAAATTAGCTCCCAAGTTTCAATGCATTTGTACTTTATAGGAAGAAAAGTTTCCAAAACTTTACTGAGAGCCACATTAAAATTTGGAAAAAGATAACAGCCGGTCAATCAATGTCGATGTAAAATAGTGCAAGTTTTCATGAAAAGAAAATATTTGTTTATTCTATTGTAGCATAGGCATTTAAGATAAATGCTACCTACAATTTATTCTCAGGTCTACTAGAGATATTGCATATCAGAGAACTAATGAGCTGATACCATAGGGGAAAATTCACAACTTCAGAATCGAACAACAAAAATATGTTGTCAAATATTAATGTGCCACCAAACAAAACCATAAAGGAACGACATGAACAAGCGAGATAAAACACTAAAAAGGAAAATTTAGTACCTTCCTTATAAAGCCTATCAGTATATTTCCTTAATTTATAGGGAAGTTATGGAGAAAGCAATTTTGAAGAAAAACACATAAAATATAAATGCAAAGCGACTACATACCAGGCATCACAAGAGAATCCATATAGAGTATCGGTCGGAACCGCGATAACCTTCTCAGCTTTAATTGCATCAATTGCCTCTTGCACATGATCTCTTGATGCTGGCAGAATAATACCCTCCTTAGTCTCCGAAGCCACATTGCATCTCTTCAGATCTTGAGACATTTTCCTTTGAAAACACCAACCAAACCTTCGTCGTGGAGAAACAATACCACCAACCCTCGATGATCTGAAAACAGTAACGAGACAAATTTTATTTCATTAAAACAGGCAAAACAGTCAAAACTCATGACCCTATTAAATGGTATAATAGTATGATCATAATGATTACATTTTAATCATTTTCCCTGTAAAAAACAGAACAGAAAATAAGTTATCTAAACATGATGAGAAAATTAATGAAGAAAATATATTTTCTTCGCTCCTCTCCTTCCTTCCTGTACTCTCAAAAATGTATTCCCTTCCTTTATCTGTGTATTATTTTACATACAGTTCAAGGTCAACTCTCCCCGATATTCACGTACCATAGAGTCAACAACAGAGAAGAGTTTGTATTGCTATTGCATATATTGCCTTGACTGACCACACGAGGTCAAAATATACCCTTTAGAACAATTAGCGCATGCCTATCCAGGATTCTGATATATCTTAGTTTGAGAATGGTCCCCCAAATCGCAGAACTTGCTATTAGGTCCCTCAAGTATTATTCTTGCCACTTCCACTCTTGATTGGAGGGATTAATTTGAAACAACTTATAAGAATTGGGGATAACAAATCCAATGATGCGAGGGACTAATTTTGAAGCAACTTATAAGAATTGGGGCACATAATAGCAATTCAATGATTTGCGGGACTAACTACAAAAGTTTGAAGATTTAAGGGACTCATATCCACAAATACCCTACTTTATGGTGTAGGTTCTAGGCCTTTTCTCAGATAAATAAATAAATAATACTGTGAATAGACCCCTGTAGTATTCACCCAACAGCTAATAGACCCCCTGTAGTTCTATTTTCGCGAATAGTCCCCCTACAGTTCCCTTGGTGAGTATAGACTCTCAATTGCTAGTTTTTACTTTTAAAAGGCTAAAAAGACTTCACTAAGGTGGTGTATTCGCACCTGGGCCAGTACTACAGGGGCTCTATTAGCCCCAAATAGAACTTAGGTGGGTCTATTCGCAATTGGACGACACTACAGGGGGTCAGTTCGTAATTAACCCTTATGTTGTAAGTTCATTTGGAGCTAAATCACAACGAAGTTACTGCATTGTAATTTTATGTAAACAATCACTTGACTACCGAAACCGCGCACAGCAAAGAAGTAAATTGAAATGGGTATCCTATCATTACAATAACCCATCAAATTTTGCAGGAAAAAAGAATCCAACCTTTGACAGAAGAAGCCTTTGGCCGAACAAGGACGAAGCAAGCACCTCTCCGTGAACTTGGCGGGAGAAATCACCAGCATCGTTTTATCATAACCGCAACCGCGAGCCTATTTCGCCTTTTCAAGACGATGAAGTGACTGAAATCGCAAGGGCTTTAGGAGTTTGCTATCGAAATTTTTGTTTTGCTTCGTTGAGGCATTTTATCGAACGCTTGCAGGGCGCAGAGACCGATAGAATTCTAGGGCCCTGTAGCTGAGGATTATCGGGTCGACTGTAATTGGGAGAGAGAACTGGGGTTTAGATGTTTTTTATTGGGCTGCTTCTGAGGCCCATCAATGACAACACTATATGACATTTGTTGGGTTAATTGAACAAAATTCCCCTGACCTTTTGGGGTATTTAATATGACCCCCTGAACTTTTTTTTAAATCTCACGTACTCCTAGAGTTCAGGTGTTTTACAAAATATCACTGAACTTTAATTTTTTCTCATCAAATGCTTACCTATAATTTATAAACAATTAAAATTTTCTTGAGAGTAGAAAAAAAAATCCTCAATTGAGGGGAGAGAGATAAGTTACCTTTAAGGGGCTATTTGGTTGGTTTCCTAAAAACCAAGAATAGGAAATGGGAGCATGGAAATCTCCCATTTCCTATTTTCAACCATTTCCATCCCTAAAACTTACCCCAACATTCAATAAAATATTATCTTATCATCCAACTCATCTAATAACATATTATTTTATCATCCAACTCATCCAATAAAATATTACTTTTATCATCCAACATCTAATAAAAAATTATTTTTATCATCACATCATCCAACTCATCTCATCTCATATTTAAAAATCAATCACATCATCCAATAATATGATGACAACTCATCTCATCTCCTTAAACTTTCATCTCCACCCATTTCCTCCAAAAAAATAAGGAAATTGATTTCCTTAAGTGTGGATCACATCATCCAATAATATAATGACAACTCATCTCATCTCATATATTTTCTTATTTTTAAGAATGAACCAAACACAAGAAAAGAACATATTATAGGAAAAAAGTTTCTTATAATACATTTCCTTATTTTTTTAGCCAACCAAACAACCTCAAAACAAGTTTTCTTAAAAAATCACTCACATCATCCAATAATATGACGACAACTCATCTCATCTCATCTCCTATTCTTTAATTTCCTTCTTTTTTTTTCTAACCAAACAACCTCAAAATAAAATTTCTAAGAAATACATTTCATATTCTTTGATTTCCCTCTTTTTTTAGACAAACAAACAGCCCCTAAATGACAATTGGCTTCAATTTGGGGGAAAAAATTCTCTCAAGAACATTCGAGTTCTTTGAAATAGGGCATTAGATGAGAAAAGTTTAAAGCTGAGGGGGTTCTCGTGAGACACTCCATATTTGAGCGGTATGTTAGATAAAATAATTTAAGGGAATATGTGCAAAAAATCCAAAGTCCAGTGGGGTTTGTAAAATCGACTCTATTTCTAATAGACCATTCAAATTAATCATATGCATTGAATTTCATTGCATCTAACATTATAAAAATGGTAAGTTGCAAGAAATTAATATTATGCATAGTCTACTATCAACTTTTTCTTCCTTTTTTATTTGTTCCGACTTCTAAAAATTAATGATCATAAAGTTCATACGTTTGTTCAGACATGTACCTATGTGCTAATGTTTGTTCAGACACGTACCTAGGCGCTAATGTTTGTCCAGACATCAGAAGAATAACTTTTAAAAACACACTAGACCCTTAAGTAACTTTTGGAATTAAAAAAATCTTCCAATAAGTTTTTGCAATTTTCCAGGTAATCTCCTTAAATTAGAACTAAAATTTTGAACAATTTAAAAAAAAGGAAAGAAGAAGAAAATTATAGACCCTGACATGAATACGAGCAAGAGGAGAACAAATGACTAAGGGGCTGTTTGGTTGTAAGTTTTTACTATGTAAAAGGATGGAAAGTGTAAAAAAGTGGCTCCTAGTGTCAGCTTTCATCCTTTTCAATTGTTTGTTTGTAGTTATGAAAATAGTGTAAAGCGATTTATTATGCTGATGTGGTATGGATTCACAAATCCCTTTAAAATTGTCTGATTTTGAAGAAAAGCTGACATATGTGTTAGAAGTGAGGGGGCTAGGCCAATGGAATCGAGTAGGGATCACACAATAACCATTTTTACACTTTCCAAACAAGCAATTAAAGTAACATTTTGCAAACCAAACAAGCAATTTATGATTCCAACGAAATAAAAAACAAACAAATAAAAGTTACTCAATGAAATTGATGAAGTGGACAACAACTTTCCTAGTTGTGTCATAAGAGCCCGTTTGGATCGGGTATTTTGAAGGGGAAAGGAGGGGGAAAGCTGCCAATTTGGTAGTTTTCCCCCAAAATCGTCTCTATAATAGGCGATTTTTGGGGAAAGCTGCAAAAAAGCCGACAAATTGGCAGCTTTCCCCCTCCTTTCACCTTCAAAAAACCCGATCCAAACAGCCCCTAAATATACAACTTTACCAACAACAACCAAACAGCCCCTAAAGATGAGAGATTTTGTTTTTAAAGTTGAAATTGAAAGAAATAAAAGTTATAAAGGGTTTTTAATAATTTAAGGATACTTTGTTCTTTTTAACTAAGTAGCTGCACAAGCCACATCAGAGCGTAACGATGCTAATTTGAGAGTTGTTGGGGGGGTTTATTGTAAAAATATTGAAAATTCTTGAGGGTTTCAGTGTAACGTACCTTTATAAAAAGAATAAATTTTTACTGTAGACCCGAATGAAGTTTTAATTATCAAAATCAACCGTTTTTTTTAATTACCAAAATCGACCCGTTTTATGCCACGTAGGCTTAATCCCGTTTCCTAATTAGTCGGGGTTGTCAACCCCGACTGTTTAGGAGTTGTTAAACCCTAATTAGAAGCCTTAAAACCCGATTTGTAATGCCCTAAACAGTCGGGGTTGGCAACCCCGACTAATTATGAAACGGGATTAAGCCTACGTGGCATAAAACGAGTCGATTTTGGTAATTAAAAAAAGGTCGATTTTGGTAATTAAAACTTCATTCAGGTTTACAGTGAAAATTTATTCTCATAAAAATTTATGAGAAGCTCATGTAAATAAACGACATATTCAAGACAAGTGAATTCATTATGAAGGTTAAGTATGATATGAATAAATTAAATTATTATCATTAACATCCAATCACAGTACACTCTTAATCCGTCACAGTGATTACCTAGTACTAATAGCATCTCATATTTAAAACTCGAATCCAAATTTTGAACGGGAAGGAGAGATAGCGGGTCTCGGATGCAATTGTAGACAAATCATCCGACCCGAACGGTACCGACCCTTCTCCGGTTCTTATCTCTCGACTCCTGAGCACCCTCGAATTCCTATAAATAGAGTGCGAGGCCACAGCGATCAAAGCCCCAGGGGCGAGACGCTGCTCCGCGAACCGAAGACAAGAGGAAAATTTCTCTCCAAAGGTCTTCTAGGGTTTCGCTCGTTTCTAGGGTTTTCTCTCTCCTCGGTGATGGCTCGCGGCCGCAGAGACGACGACGAGGAGGAGTTCGACGAGGAGGAGGAGGAGGAAGATCTCGAGGAAGAGGAGGAGGAGGAGTACGGGGGGAAGGGCAGGAAGAAAAGGGGCAGATCTGATTTCATCGACGATGCCGCGGTTGAAGACGATGAGGAGGATGAAGAGGACGAGGACGACGATGATGATGAGGATTTTGGGGGGAGTCGGAAGAAGAAGAAGAAGAAGAAGAAGATGAAAGGGTCTGAGTTTATAGATTTCGAGGCGGAGGTTGACACCGACGAGGAGGAAGAGGAGGACGAGGATGCGGAAGACGGTAAGCTTTTGGTTTTTATTTAGGGATTCTGGCTCTTTATTGTTTTCTTTTGGTAAATTTTTTTAGATGTTTGCTGAAATTGAAGAATTTTTGGTGATTTAGGGCTTCATTAGAGACTATGCACAGAGAATAAAAAAAATTAGTTGGTTCGGGAGTTCTATTGTTTCTAACTGAATCTGCAATTATAATTGTTGGAAATTAGGGTTTCGGTCCTTTTAGCCAATTTTGATGAATTAGTTTCTTGTTTTTTACTTTTTTTGAGCTGAATTGAGGAAATTAGGGGTGGAGGACTTTGTTAGATAGTATTTGCACATACAAGAGGGGAAACTTGAGTGAGTTAGGGAGGGTTAGATTTGTTTATAACTGAATCTGCAGTGATGATTGTTGAAGATTAGGGTGTTGTTCTCTTGCAAGTGACACAATTTATCAGTTGTGTGCTCTAATTTTGCATTGATTGCTGATGGTTTGTATATACTTTTAAAGTTGGGAAATTTTACATTGCTTGCTAAGTTTCTCGGATGGTAGTTATATATTAAATTTGCCTTTGGAAAGAATAAGAACCCGAATGGCATATGATAAAGAAAAAGATAATGGAAGCAAAGACCTTTATGAGAGCAATGTGAGGTAGAATTGAGAATTTAAGAAACAAGAATGACTTTGGGGGAGACCGGAGTAGGAGGAGGAATTTCTTAGTTGCTCATTTTCTAAGCTTCCATTGATTACTAAATACAGACTATTTCGATATATTTTTTATTTGGGAAATATTATATTGCCTTTAAGTTTGTAGAATGATAATGAGAGACTAAATTGTCCTTTGCGTTCTGTGTAGAGACAAAAAGAGAGGAGAACCCTTATAACATGGAAAGAAAAAAAAGGAACCTAAACCTTTAGGTTAGGATTTGTGAGGATAATGTGAGGTGGAATTGAGAATTTAACTGATATATATTAACGCCGGGGGTGGTCAAGTGCTGCTTAATAACCAAGAATTTGTTCCCTTCTTTTTTTCCCCTTTATTAATATAATAATATTGGTCTGAATATAAATTATTGGGACCATCACTTTGGATTGAGCAGTCTATGCTCAATTATGATTTGGCTCTCAAAGTAGATAGTTTGAGTTATGGCACACATGCGTAAGATGGGGAAAAGGAAAAGGCAGCAAGGAATTATGAGTCAGGATGTAGTTATTGCTCTGTTTATTTGAGACTTCTCATATATATCTCCTCATATGCCATAAGCTATTGAAATTTTAAAAAGTTATAGAACTATTGTTACGGTATCTCTTTATGCTGATAGATCATCCACGTTATTATTTTGTTAGAAAGGGTAAAGGAATTCTTCGTGATATGTTTGTTCAGTCTGATCTAGAATGATGTTTTAGTCTTAAATTTAGAATGATCTAATGTGCTTATCGTCTTCTTATTGAAGTTAGGTTTATTCTTCACCCTTTGCGGAACATCAAGACTCAGAACATGAGAAATTTATATTGAACTTTATACTGTTTGGTTTTATGGATGAGTATCTGTATCACTTCTTGCATTCATTAGATCATGTTCTCACATCTAAATTCCAGGACATCATTTACATGTACAAGCATATTGCGTGTGTGGGTGTATTTGTGTTTGCGTATTCATGTACATTTGCTTGTGCAATAAGGAGATAGTGTTGATAGGGCTGAATCGAGTAAAAGGATACATGTCGTCAACCTGAGTGGACAGGATAAAGCGATGTCCTGCCTGTTGTTTATTAATGTGGCTAAGGATACATGTAGTCGGAAAATTGTGTGTTTTTGTGTTTATATATTAATGTACAGTTGCTAGTGCAATAAGGAGATAGTGTTGATAGGAATGGAGGAAAATGATACATGTAGCCAACCTGAGTGTGATGATAAAGTGTTGTCTTGCCTGTTGTTTACTAATGTGGCTAATTCAGATATGTTATACAGTAATATTCGCCCATCCTTTCCATTTAATGTCAATTACTTTTATGTGAAAATGTAGATTTCATAGACGATGGGCGTGGTGCTGACTTGGGAGAGGAAGAAGTTGGCAGAAGACCACACAGGCCTACAACTTTCTTGACGGAGGATCAGGAAGATGTGGAGGAGATGGAAAGGCAAGTTTATGAGAGATATGCTAAATCAAGTCATGTAGAGTATGGTGAGGAGGCCACTGAGGTTGAACAACAAGCTCTTTTACCCTCTGTAAAGGACCCAAAGTTGTGGATGGTGAAATGTGCAGTAAGAAATTTATTCTTGTAGTTCATTCTGAAAGAGTATCTCAAGTTATAGTCTCTTTTTTCTTCTCCCTCTGATGTTCTGCAACTTATTTTTGCATGTCAGATTGGTCATGAGCGTGAGACAGCTATTTGCCTCATGCAAAAATATATAGACAGACCCGAACTTCAGATCCGATCAGCAATTGCGTTAGATCACCTTAAAAATTATATATATGTTGAAGCCGACAAAGAAGCTCATGTTAAAGAGGTGTAAATTGTTTTCCTCCTTGTGTAACATGTATGGATGTGTTAGTTATTCTTTTTTGCTAAACTGCCAGCCTTGCTTTGCAGGCTTGCAAAGGTCTAAGGAACATATTCAATTCGGCCAAGGTGATGTTGGTGCCAATAAAGGAAATGACCGATGTACTTTCAGTGGAAAGCAAAATAGTTGATCTTGCAAGAGACACATGGGTTCGGATGAAACTTGGGATCTATAAAGGAGATCTTGCAAAAGTATGTATGTTGACACTTTCTTTTAGATCATATGGTTTTCCTTATGCATGTAGTATAGTTTCCTCTAGATCACACAGTTTTCTTTCTGTAAGCTTTCTGTGTTTCATTTTGCAGGTTGTTGATGTTGATAATGTGCGGCAGAAGGTGACTGTTAAGCTCATTCCGAGGATTGATTTACAAAACCTTGCTGCCAAATTGGTATGAGTAAATCAGTTCTGCCATCCCCATAGTTAACATCTATCATTTGTCTTAAGTTATGATTAGGTAAATCATTAAGACTTTTTGTTCATTTATAACATTGCTAGTTTGCACGCTGGTGGTTAGTTGTTATTTAGCTAGAGTTTTGCTTATGCGTTTTTTTGCATTTGAAATTTGGAAAACATGTATGTTTCTGCTTGTTGGTTAAGTCCTATAGTTCAGTCCAAAATTGTACAGTTATTATGAGTTGCAATTATGTATTGTCCAGGAAGGTAGGGATGTTGGAAGAAAGAAGGCATTTGTTCCACCTCCACGTTTTTTCAACATTGATGAAGCACGGTACTTCCACTCTTTCATGCTGGCTGAAATTGACATGAATTTGGTATTTGAGGAAATGAGAACTTAATTGTCGTCTGTGCTTTTTTTTTTCTTCCAGAGAAATGCATATCCGTGTAGAACGCAGGAGGGATAGAGACTCTGGTGAATATTTTGAAACGGTAGATAATATGATGTTCAAAGATGGATTTCTATATAAAACGGTGTCCATGAAGTCAATCAGTTCACAAAGCATACAACCTACTTTTGATGAATTGGAGAAATTTCGGAAGCCGGGTGATGATGCTGATGGTGATATGGCTAGCTTGTCTACTTTATTTGTGAACAGAAAGAAAGGTCATTTTATGAAGGGTGATGCAGTTGTAGTTGTTCGGGGTGATCTGAAGAATCTGATGGGCTGGGTTGAAAAAGTAGAGGAAGAGAATGTCCATATCAGGCCAAAGATGGAAGGGTTACCGGTAATTTCTTCTCTAATCACCTATTACTAATTACCTTATATATTCTTTTTATAGGCACGCTGCTTTACTTGTTTTTTGTATTTTCCAGAAAACATTGGCTTTCAATGAAAAGGAGCTCTGCAAGTATTTCAAGCCAGGGGACCATGTGAAAGTGGTCTCTGGTGTTCAAGAAGGAGCAACTGGTATGGTGGTGAAGGTTGAGGGTCATGTCCTCATCATTTTATCGGACACCACTAAAGAAGATGTAAGTGATAGTGATGCCTTTAGATGAGACAGAAGAGCGTATTTTAATGGCAGTGTAGTGCCTCTTATTAGCTTATTTGTCGTGCAGATCCGAGTTTTTGCAGATAATGTTGTAGAGAGCTCTGAAGTTACCACCGGAATCACCAGAATTGGCGACTATGAGTTGCACGATCTTGTGCTGTTGGAGTAAGTTATTCTATATGCATTGCAGTTGTTTGTTCTGCAAAGCAGGTCTAGATGTTGTTTTGTTGATCTCTTATGATCTATTGAACTTTTCTGTAGCAATATGTCTTTTGGAGTGATTATACGTGTAGAAAACGATGCATTCCAGGTAAAAAAGATACTAAAAGTTTCATGCTTTCAATGCGGATTATTTTTTCTTTCTGCTCATTGTAAGTGTGTGTAGGTACTCAAAGGTGTCCCTGATAGGCCTGAGGTCACGCTTGTCAAATTACGAGAAATTAAAAGCAAAATTGAAAGACGGTCAAATGCCCAAGATCGATCAAGGAACATGGTGTCCACTAAGGATATTGTGAGAGTTCTCGAGGGACCGTGTAAGGTGGGATTCACAATTATATTTCTGGTTTACCTGAACGCCTTGATACATTCTCTTTCTTACTTGTTTTTCTATCCTTAACTAGGGAAAGCAAGGCCCCGTTGAACACATTCATAGAGGAATATTGTTCATCTATGATCGCCATCACCTAGAACATGCTGGTTTTATTTGTGTCAAAGCGCAGTCCTGTATAGTAGTTGGTGGATCTCATAGGAACCGTGAAAAACCTGTATGCCTCTAATTTTCTCCAATTCAGTATTAGTTTATCCAGCTCTATCTTGACATCACAAACTAATGCCCACTTTGTTTTTATACAGGGTTTGAACACCTTAAACTCAAAATTGGAGAATTTGAAATCGCCATTTCGTGATTCTCCTGAAAGACCACCTAGAGGGCCTGCGGGAAGATGTATGTGTGTTAATGTTTTTAATGTAGAGTTGATTCTTTATGTTCATTTGCATCGAGCAACTTGTTTCGCTATTCAGTTATGTTAGCTGCCATATTAGCTTCAGAGTCAGTGGTCTTTTCATATTAATGTTAGCTGCCATATTAGCTTCACAGTCAGTAGTCTCTTCATATTAATTATGTCTAATGATGCCTATCTGAACTTTTATAGTTGGCGGAGGATTTAGGGGTGGTAGAGGACATGATCCTCTTGTTGGTAGAACTATTAAAATTCGATCCGGCCCTTTGAAGGGATATCGTGGTCGTGTGAAAGAAGTCACGGGCATATTGGTGCGTGTTGAATTGGATTCACAAATGAAGGTTGTTACCGGTAAGCCCACTGCACCAAGACCTACATGCTTAGGGAAAATTCAATTTGATATTATGTATTTACGTAACATCTTCACTAAACTTGTAGTTAATAAGAATGATATTGCTGATGGTGCTGTTCCTTCAACTCCATTCAGGTATTATACATTTCACTTAGCTTTGATTTTTTTTTGATTTTTTTTTTCCAATTCCTTTCCATTGAGTTTAATTGAAGACTAAACATTTTATCAGGGAGACCGCTCGATATGGCATGGGGAGTGAGACACCCATGCACCCTTCACGGACTCCGCTGCATCCTTATCAAACTCCAATGAGGGATCCTGGAGGTTTGTTCTCGGCATTTCTCTAAGATAATTTTTGACTTAATAATTCTAATTATGAAGCGTGATTATTTCTGTCACTTATTGATTATTCTTAGCACATTTCTTGGTGATATTGGGCCCTGTCTGGTTCGGGTCAAAGTAGAGGTTAAGATAGTCAAGAAGCTCATTTCTGCTGACCAATCTGGAAACACATGCACAGACGCAGAGCTCCCCACGTAGACAAATGAACATATTAGCTATTTTAGCCTTTTCAACATTTCTTAATGAAGGGCTTACAAACTCAGACCCCCCTTGGAACATCTCTGTAGCTTTTCATGTTATATGTCAAGCTGTCTTTTTAGATTCCTCCCATGATAGAGGAGTCTACTGAACCATCTCATGTGCATTCATTCTTGGAAACCCTTTTTGTGTTTTTCCTCCACTGAAAAGGGGGGGAAAAGGCTCTTTACTTGTTGATGTGCCTCAGCATATAGTCAGAACTTGTATCTTTCCTTCTCTGTATTTTCTTAATATGATTGACTGAAATAGGGTTGTCAGCATTGTTTAGTGGTATATTGGTATTTAGATCTTCTTTCTTATGTTATTACTTATCTACAGCAACGCCTATACATGACGGCATGCGAACTCCCATGGTTAATCGAGCATGGGCTCCCATGAGTCCACCAAGGTGTGTTCCCATTGTTTTATCTGATTACAGACATCTTGATTTTGTTTGTTGACTTAGTTTAATGTCTAATGTTCTCTATAAGGTGTTTTTTGAGCGCTTATTGGAATTAACGCTGTTTTTCATTATAAATTTATCTTAGCATGTTCTTCAAGTTTCTTTTAAATTACACGCCATGTTTCCATTAGTGCTTACTTATCAGAATTTAATTAGTTAATATCCCTTTTTTCTTTTCTTTTCTTTTTTTGGATTTTATACTTAATAGAATTGCACCAATTAGGAAAAGTGACAAGATTATAAATGATGGAGAAAGGAATAGGGCAGGCCTTAGAGCTGATTAGAAATTATTGGGAAGTATAAGATAATGATTAACTTAGTGGAGAGATAACCCTTAACAGAACTCAGTGGAAGAGTAGGATTAATAGCTGACCCCGAAAATCTGGGATAAAGGCTTAGTTGTTTGTGCTGCTGCTGCTGCTTTTTTTTTGTTCTTGTTATAGTTAGAAGAATAGGGATTAATTATCTCCTTAAATATGAAATCAGGGATAATTGGGAAGATGGAAACCCTGGCTCTTGGGGAGCAAGTCCACAATATCAGGTCCGTTGTTGTATCCGATTATAATTTTTTTTTTGCCTGCAATAATAACCTTCTTATTGGATGCCTGAATAATGCATGCATTGTTTCTCTTTCAGCCAGGAACGCCTACTGCCCGTCCATATGAAGCACCTACCCCTGGTTCAGGTTGGGCTAACACTCCAGGAGGCAATTACAGTGACTCGGGGATAACAAGAGAAGGCAGTCCACTATATGGTACTTTCTCAAATGAATGGATTTTAATTTCCTTATTTTTAATAGTCAGAAAAGTGTGGAAGGTCTAACTATAGACACATTATTTTCCCAGGAAGTGCTGTAAGCCCTTACCTGCCATCAACTCCTGGTATCCAGCCCATGACGCCCAGTTCTGCATCTTATCTTCCGGGTACTCCTGGCGGGCAGCCAATGACACCAGGAAATATGGGATTGGATATGATGTCACCGGCTATAGGTTTGGCTGCTTTATATTCTCGGTTCCCATAAATATTTGTGGTCCTTCTTTGAAATGCATCTCAGTGTTATCACTATGGCCTACATTTATTTACCTTTTTTGGCTACTTGCTTTAATATAGTATTTCTATGGATAATTGTCTTGATTAAATTTCATTGCTGACATATACTTAAACTGAGTATCTTCTTTGCTGTATATTTCATTGAGAATTGTTACCCTACTTTCAGACTTGTGTAAATGGGATATCCAGGAAATGCTAAGAAGGTGATAATTTCTGATAATTGTTGCTATTACAGCAGCAGCAGTAGCCACAAAAAATAAATACATAAATAAAAGAAAAAAATATTTTTTTTAGTGGATCAGATGTGGGCAAATTTCCATGCTTTTCTTTCATGAGTATGAACAGAAGTAAATTAACTGAAAGTTATGGAACAAGGAAGAAACGTGTATCTATGCTAATTAAATTGTCTGCATATGTAAACAAATAATAGTTGCAATACAGATAATGCCAGTAAACAGAAATTTAAAATGAAGCGAGGAGTATCTGTGCTATAAAAATAATCTTCATTCAGTGAACAATGATAAATGCAACATAGATGACATCGTTAAAGATCTTTAAGACAATAAATTTCACCAAAGCAATGAAAATTGTGCAGTCAGCTTGTCACTTCCTTTTGTTACCTAGGTTTTCACATCTGACAAGATATAGGAAGACAGGAAGAGCATGTATGATTCCTAAAATGAATATTGTGGATATCTGAAAGAGAAAAATAGGAAATAGCCAGGAGCAGCTAAGGAAAGCATAAGGGATACCATCATTACCACTTTCATTCACAAGCCGTAGTGGGATCTTGTATCATTTAATTGTACTTATTTGGCCTCCATTTCACTCAATGAACTTTTTTATGGCAAGAAAGACAGCCTCATCATGTACCTGTTCCAGGCGAGAAGAAATGCATGTTGTTCTATGTTCTACATCATTATCTCTGTTTTTAAGCTCAATTTATTTAGTAGTTTCTTTATGCAGCTAATTGCCAGCTGCTTCTGATACCACTTATGCAAAATTCCTTTTGAAAGAAATTGAGGTGCTCATATGATCTTGACCTCTTGCAAGTTGACTTTAAGGGTAGAATTCCTCTGTCAAGGAATTGTCAAAATTACCTGTATAATTTGTATGCTGCAAACTTGTTGGGTTTGTGGGGGCTTTTGATATCTTCAGCCATGTCAAATGGGGTATCACACAAACTCCCTACTATAATACTGCGGTATTCAGTAATATGAAGAGGTGTAACATATCTACTGTGCAGAATGTCTGAACACCTGGACTTGGTTAACCAAGAACCATAACATATTTGAGGGGATGACCAATGGATTGTTATATAAGGAACTGCAATTACGTCAAAGTTTTGGATATTGAACCCCATTTTCTCTGCTGATGCCCGTCATCCTAGTATTTTTGTTCACTGTAAATACCGATCAAGTGCTAGGTTCTCCAATTTCCATTTCTGTCCCAACTTCCGAATCATTTTTCCCCCTTATACTGAAAGAATTAGATTTATCACGGGTTGTTTAATTTCCAGTTGAACTTTGAAATGTGTAGACAATTGGACTCCAGCTCAAGGTGCAAATTTTAGCTAGTAAATGATGTATAGTAGATGCATACCGTTGGGCTGATAATGAAGAGTTTTGTGCAGGTGGGGAAGGGGAAGGAAACTGGGTAATGCCCGATATTTTGGTGAACATCATAAGGCCGGCAGAATATCCACATATTGGGGTTGTTCGGGAGGTGACAATGGTAAGTGCTCTGTCCTTACTTGCTGAAAAGTGCTCACATGCTTTACAAGCCCGATCATTGAGTAAAGAGTCTTTTTTATGTATACCCTGTAATACCCCCATCTCCAACCCAAAAGAAAAATTTGCAAACTACCCCTTGAATTATCAGTTTTGGAAAGAAAAACTCAAATCAACAAATTATCAACTTTGTTGAATGTGACTAGTAAATTTTTGACTATTTTGTTGAGATACTTCTACATTGCAGTTACAAACTAGCCTATTAAAGTTTATGATACGCTGTTTTGGGTTTTCTTTTTCCACAGTTGATGATTAAGGTTAGTTTTGTAAATTCTGAAATTTGGAGCATAGTTCAACTATTCATAATTTAAGGAGGTACATGTACAAAAGAAAACCCAAAAAAAAATCTTATAGAGAGCCATCTATAGGTTCCAACCTAGAATTTGAAGTCGGCGATTCCAGTGTTACAGTATTACGATTGCACTGATATTATATACCATGTTTCCTTTGCAGGATGGATCCTGTAGGGTTGCCCTCGGCTCAATGGGCGATGATGAGGTGGTGACGGTTCTACAAGGAGAATTAGAGCCCGTGAGACCGAAGAAATCTGATATAATCAAAATCACCAGCGGGGGTCAAAGAGGACTGACCGGCAAGCTCATTGGTATTGATGGTAACGACGGTATTGTGAAGCTTGATGATACATATGAAGTAAAGATTTTGGAAATGAGCAGCCTCGCTAAATTAGCAGCATTGTAGATGAGAAGAGAATGATTATTTATTATGTCAAACCTGAAGCTCTATGTGGAGCAAGAGAGTTTCAGTCCTGCCGTCTTTTTCTATATCGTGGTATTGCTTCACCTTGATGGATTAGCAAAACAGATATGGAGATATTTGAGCACACTTGTGTTGTATGTGTAGCGATGTTTTTATTGGGATGTAGATGTACGAAAGGCCTTTAATTTTTGTTTGGTAAAGGAGAAAGATGTAACATTAATCGGTATGATTTCTATAAGTGATTGATCAGTATGTCCCAATCTAAGCTCAATGTGGGTGATAGTGGTGCTTTCTCTGGCACGTTAACCTTAGTTTGGTAGTAAAGATGGAATGAGACCTGTTATCATGAGATGAGAGATCGAATTCTCAGTATGCCATCTTGCAGTTTGCCGGTGTTCTCGCTTTTGGGCGAGGCCGTAATACTTCCTGTCGCCCGTTGGTATTCTATCAAAGTTACTCCTTTTGATTTTCATATGGCACCTTCAAGTTGTACTCTTATCAAAACTATTCGTATGGAAATTGTCCCGTCCCCTTAAACCTTCTGTGAGATTCTGTTTGATTGTAATTTTCAAGAATCCTACGACCAAGGGGGTTGATTTCTGAATCTGTTGCATATGCGTGCATGTGAGGGATCAATACGTTACATGCCTTTATCCGAAGGTTGATTTCTAAATATGTCGGCGCAGAGCAGAGTACTACCTGTACATTGTAACTATGAACTATATACCAGACTGATGGCAGAGCAGAGTACTACCTGTACATTGTAACTATGAACTATATACCAGACTGATGACAGGCGTGTCATGTCGTTCATATTGCTGATCTCGGGGTCAGCAAAGTGTCATGAATCGAGAATTAGCCTAAATCCGTCAGTTCTGAACCGGGGGTGGAATTGCCCAGACGAGAACCGTATAGGCTCCGTCGGATTACTCGTCAAACCAGGATTTGTTCGAGACCGATAAACAGGTTGAGCTTCCATCAGATGAGACGGTAGACTCGGCAGTGGATATTCGCCATGATAGCTAACTCGAAAATGTTAGTTACTAAGGCAGAGTTTTCCGGGATGTGCAAGAAATTGTCAGAGACAGAATGTTAATACCTTGATTAAATTGGTGTTTACTTCTTACGTAGATATTTGAATCAAAACAGTAACTGATCAAAATCTGAAAGGAGAAAGAAATCAGCTGAGCAGGCTTGAAAGGAGAAAAAACGAGGTTTCAATCGTGCCAGTAATGCTTGCTAGCCAGCCCTAAGCGCTTCAGATCTTGCTCCTCCGTCATCCTCTATTTTGCCCACCACACCTTCTTCAGAACTAACTTATCTTTCTAATATTTTTTGCCAAAGAACCCCTCACATTATTATGCAATTTTACAAACAAACTCCTTTTTGCAGTGGTTTTTGCAAAAATAATAATAATAATAATAAATAAAACTCACTTGGTAGAATATTTGTATAAGCTTCTCTTCACTAGCTTTTTCTAAACCTTAACTGTATGTACTTCCTCTTATCAGGTCTAATCTGCTAAGCTTGGGGGGGGGGGAAACAATTTGTAAATTAATCCACATTACTCAATCTGCCAAAAAAATTACTTTATGAAGATACAACAAAAGATTTGTAAGGTCCTCCCTCACTAGCTTTTTGTAAACCTCAACTGTCTCTATGCACTTTCCTCTTGACAAGTTTAATCAGCTAACGCATTTGGCTAGGGGCTTCGAATATTTGTAGAGATTGATGAAGGGAGGGTGCCCATGCTGCCAAAAGGGTAGATCATTGAGGAAGTACAAATATTGCTCGAAATTTTGACTCTATTTGCATCATGGTTTAAAATTGCATCCGAGAAAATAAATAACACCCAAGAATTAGAAAACAACAAGAGGCTATCATATCATCAACATGAGCACGACATCTAAAATAACCTGAAGAACCATCTACAGAATGCACGTACATGAACAACATCAATAATCATCTATCGCAATTGAAACAACAAAATTATAACCAATAAAACACAAGACATCAAAACCTTGTTGGCTCCAAACTCATACTCACAACACAAAAGCCTTCGAAATCATGTCTTCAATCGGACCCTCACATTCAGAAATGCTGCATATTTTGAGTAACGGCAAATCATAAAAATATAACCAGCAGAATAGATAAGGATCAGAAATTTAATAGCGACTAGAAGATACCATCATAACATACAACATCATCAATCATCTACCAAAGTTGAAACAAATATATGATAAAGACAAATACTTTACCATATTGGCAATACAAAAGCCTTCAAACTCAATATCTTCAATCCGCAATTGTTTCAGGCCAATCTATTCTCCAAATCATGGTAATCATAAAAACACATCCAAGATTAAAAAAAAATAAATATCAACAAAAAGGTATCATGACATAAACACGAACATTTCAAACCACTGTCACCAAAATGCTCAAACGTAAATACCATCACCGATCCTCTACCAAAGTCGGAACAACAAAAACATAACCGATAAAAAAAAATCTCATGCCATATTCACAATACAAAAGCCTCCAATCTCATATTATCAACATCATAACTACTGTTCCCCACCAGTTATATTTGACAGTAAAAATACATCTAAGATCATGAATAAGGCTTAAAAATTAGACATGAAGAAAAGATATTCATATCACCAACATGAACATGTGACATAAATAAATCATCACCAAAATGCTCAAAGATGAATAACATCATAGATAATCTACCAAAGTCGAAACAACAAAAATATAACCCATTGACACAAAAAGACCATCCCACATTCGCAATACAAAACCTCCAAGCTCATATTTTCAGGGTCCTCCTATTTTCCTCCATCTGCCCGAAAACCTTCATCGCAATCACATTATCATCGAAAAACCCTCTATACTGATGCCCCTTTGGCACGAGCCTCCGATACTTCTCAAACTTCTTCTCCGCCTCCTCCTTCTTCATCATCAAACTATACACAATCCCTTCACATAAATACGGCCTAAAATCCCTCGGCTCCTCCTTCACCAACTCCTCATAAACCCTAATCGCCTCCTCATACTTCCCCTCACAAACCTTCACTTGTGCCTTCAACAGCTTAAAGTCCCTCAAATCCTCTCTCCTCTTTGCCTTCTTGCACATCTCCATAGCTTTCTCAACCCTCTCAAGGATCCCATCCAATCCCTCTTCGGCTTCTCGGTTCGCCATTATAAGCGCATTATAGGCCTCCACTGAAAATGGGTTTCTGTGGATAACCTGTTCGATGAAATGCCTAGCTGAGTTCACATCACCAGATTGGATGAGTAGGTGAGATTTCAATAGTTGAAGATCAAGGTCATCGGGCTCAAGCTCGATGAGGCGGTCGAGGACCGAGATGGCTTCGGGGATCTCGTTGGACTTGATTTTGACGTCGAGGAGGGGTCGAAGGGAACGGGGGTCGTTGAGATTGGAATCTAGGGTTTGTTCGGAATCGAGGAGGTCGTCGGTTAGGGTTAGGGTTTCGGGTTGGGGAATGGGGAGAGGGGAGGCGATAGCGGGAGAGGAAGAGGGCGGCGGCGGGCGGTGAGGGTGAGCGGCGGCGGGTTCAGGACGGTGGGGGGAGCAGCGGAGGACGCGGCGGCTTGAGATGGGGTTGCCGGGGTATGAGAGGGAGTGAGGGTTTGAGAGGGGTTTTGAGGGAAATTAGGGTTTTAGGGAGGAGAGGGTTTTGATGGGTAAAGGGCTTTAGAGGTGAAAAATCCATGGGTCAGAGTTCTGGGATTCTGTTGAATTAGGGTTTTGGGATTTTAGGAGAAGGCGGCCATGGCTGGAGCTCGGCAGAGTAGAGGAGCACGTAGTGTCTTTGTTGCGGTTTGGATTGGGGTTTTATCATAAGAGACCCTACAACTTTTCATATTTGTATATTACGCTCCAAAATATTCATATTTATTTTTTTGGGCTTTTTCGATATTGATCCCTTAATCACCGGTCTCTAGCTATAAGTCCCTCAATTTTTTATATTTTGATATTAGTCCCCCAAATTGCTTAAGTATGTCGATATTAGTCCTTGTGGTTAGATGGTGTTATAAATAATGGGAATATTCTGTTTAAGATAATTTTTTATTTGTAAGGATAGTTACACTCCCGATCTAATACCTAAACCCCCTTAAACCCAATAAAGACTCATGCCCGTTTTTTCATCTTTCTTCTCCAACAATAAAACAATACACTAAAAACAAACAATGGAGATCCTACCCAATACTCGTTTCTTCGCCCAATACCAGATCCTAATAGAGATTAGACTTAATACTTGTTATATCACATAAATAACTAAGTGTTAATCCTACTCTAGGAGTCAACAAGTGTCTCAAGTTAACTATGCTTAATAGATCCTACCCAATCCTAATATTTTGTTTGGTTACTTTTAATTTCAAAAAATATATTCTTAAAATGTTAACAAACGTTATCTAAATATATGAAAACTCATTTCCGAGTTTTTTGAGCAGAAATGGGTTGGAACCTAAAAATAAAAATTAAATAATAGAGCATTACTATTAAGCGTTGATTATAGGCTAAAAACTAATTCTGTCTCATTTTCTGGAAGTGGTGATTTCCTTTAGAGTTTTCTCCAAACTAACAAATGAGAAAGAGTCGATATTCATGATAGTTTTCTGGGTGATTTTGAGCAAAACAAACAAACAACTCACAATTTCAAGAAAACCATGGAAAACCCCAAAATTTGTATTTCCACGCCGAAAAAGGGGTTTACCAATATTTAAGGAAATGAAGAAAGACAAAGTACTGTGTGAAGATAGGTTTTCTTGGAATAAATTACTGTATGTAAATAAAATGTTAAAATGTTTACAATTTGTTAATGGATTGTTTGCATATATACCATCTAAATCATGGATAGTTGGAAAAAAAAATACTCCCTACATTTAAATATTTGTAGAACTATCCCTCAAATCATCAACTTTCTGAAAAAAAATACTCCTACAGTCAACAAATCATCAACATAGTACTGAAATATGACTATTTTGTTGATAATTTTTATATTCTAATGACAAATTAGCTTATCAAAGTTGATGATTAATTGTTTTGAGGGTGATGTTTCCAAAATCGATGATTTGAGGGGTTATTTTGGAAATATTGGGATTTAGAGTTGATGTTTGAAAATACACATGATGTAAGGGGTGTATATGCAAACAACCCCCTGTTAAGTGTTAATTTACTGGTGTCTGGATTCGCTGGAACTTATCCCGAGTGTCGGGATCCAGCTGTTTTCAGGTGGGGGCAGCCTGGCAGGTGAAACGGTCGACCGCTCGTGGAAAATTCTCTCCCAGACCCTGACTTTTTCTCAAAAAACAAACAACAATGTCTTCTTTTGTAAATTTCACAAAACATGGCTACTTTTCTCCACTTTGGTGATTCTTTTTTTATCAATCCTTACCGGTCTTGCAAGAGCTCAGTCAACATAGGACTCTGGTCAAGTCAAGGATAAGTTCTTTTTTTTTGCCTACTTTTAACTTCACCCAAATCTTTCACCCTATTTATTCGCGGGCCCTCTTGCATCAAGATAGGTACAACTATGGCAAGTGGTTAGTTAAAAATGGGTCTTCTCTAATATTTAGACTGATCAAGTTACCTGGTGGTTATTTTCATATGTAAGACCCTAAATTATTTACTAATGACGTTTTTCCAAATCCACAATTTAGTTTTCCTATATTATTACAAGAAAATAGCATGAGCCCAATCTTTGTTAGAGATTTCACATGTGAGTATAGTCTTGCACCGTAAAAGTTTATGAAATAGTGGTGAGCCTAAATTAAAATAAATAAATATATAGTTTAAGCTTTCATGTTAATTCTTAGTCTTTGTTTAAAGCGCAACTCTGGTAAGGGTTGTATTTCTTCCCAACATATTATTCGACAGTTCTGGATACATTTATTTTCCTTAAAGTGATATCTAATCTTTCTAAAATCTTCCTAATATTCAAGAATCTATGTGGAGGCACTCCCCGACCAAGCTCAACTAGACAATCTAATTAAGGAAAATGGTATCTCATCTCAAAACTCTAGATTAACCTTTCCTAAAATAGGATCTCTACGACAAATTCACCAAGTAAAGGGGCTATCTGCAAAAATAGCACTAATTTTTCGCCGTCGAGCTTCAAATCACTAAAAAAATGGGGGGAAATTACAAAATTCTCCTTCTTCTTTCCCAAATCGCGTGCTCCAAAAGCCACGCCTCTTCTCTCTCCTCAAAAGGCCCAATAGATCCTTTTCCCTCCTCAAAACTCCGATGAATTTCTAGGGTTTAGGGTTTTGAGATCGCCGGAGCTCCTTATACGATGGTCTCCCGCAGCCTCTTCGGGTGGTCCCCACCCCACGACGCCCCTAACGCCCAGTCTCCGAGATCGCTCAGAGCGTCCGGAGTCGCGTCGTCTCGAGTACTGGAGCTCCGTGAGTCGAGGGAGTGGGGCAGGTGGAGGACGAGGAGGCGCGTAGTCGACGAGGCCTGAGGAGATCGAGCCTCCGCCGGCCGGGCGGTGCGTTCTCTGAGGCTGTTCGCTTTGCGCTGAGCGGGCTCGATGGCGCTCGACATGGGCCGTCGGTTCGTTGGGCGGCGCGGGCGCACGGATGGCGCTGGTTGTGTACTTGCATTTCTTCGGGCGGGCGATCAATTTGCTGGACTCTCAGCGGACGGGTTCGCCGATACATGGGGATAGTGATCAGTTGTTTTATAAGTTCAAGGAGGTGAGTTTTGATCTTTTGTGAGATTTTAATCTTTACTGCTTTTTCTTATAGAGCTTTAGGTTTTACTGAACTCAAATGGCAGGAAATTCGTCACATCCTCATTCCAAAACACAAGGAACAATGACTGAAAACTAGTCATATACACAAACATCTCAATTAATTAACTAGTCATGTGGATAATGTCATAAATTTCTAGTGCCCAATGTCTCGTTTTGTAGCTGAACTCAGGTCGCTGGAAATTTCTCACCCCCTACAAATAATCGCTAACAACCCGCAGCCGAACTTTCCAGGATACAAGGAACTAATTAAACTAAACAATTTTATATTGACACTAGGAGTATTTTCTTTCACACCATTCTCTTGCAAATAATCGTATACATACATCTCTCAAGTAATCATATACATGATGTCATATATTTCTTTGGATGGTGTTCAATGTCTTGTTTTCTGGAGCTTTAGGTTTTGCTGAACTGAGGTGGCAGGAAATTTCTCACTCCCCTCTTCCAAATATACCACAAATAATCACTAACAATTAACAAGAGAACTTTCTGAGAAACCAAGAACTAATTAAACTTCATAAATGTTATATCGAAACCACGAGTACAGTTTCTGTTACTCAACTTATCCACGAATAATCACTAACAATCAACAAGAGAACTTTCTGAGAAACCAAGAACTAATTAAACTTCATAAATGCTGTATTGAAACCATGAGTACAGTTTCTGTTACTCAGCTTATCCCTCTCTTTCAATTAAACATATGCATAAATCTTTCAGCTAACATATACATAATGTCATAAAGTCAACAAGTGAACGTTGTCTTGTTTTTGTAGAGCTTTAGTTTTTACGGAACTTGGGTGGGAGGAAATTTATCACACCCTACTTCCCAACATATTACAAAATACAAGATAATCACTAACAACCCACAAGTGAGCTTTCTAAGAAACCAGGAACTAATTAAACGTTGCAATTTTATATTGAAACCAGGGGCACAATTTCTCTTATACATAAATTTTGCTAGGAGGGTGATCGAGTTTGTTGGATTCGCAATCCCAATGTTCTGATTTGCCGATGCACGAGGATAATGATGAGCTGTATTACAAGTTTAAGGAGGTGAGTTTCAGATTTTGGGGGATTTTCTGTAAAGAAAAGGTTTAATAAACTTTAAGGCAGGGTCTAGTGCTAAATATCTTGTTTGTATTGCTTTAGGTTTTCCTAAACTTAGGTTGCAGGAAATCTATCTGGCTCCGCTTTGCAAATCAAGTACAACAACTATGGGAGGGAACTTAAGTAAAAACTCTCAATGAATGTGCTTGTCCTCTAGAAACACTAATAAACATAAAAAATCCCTATTACCTCACAAGCAAACTATCTGAAAAACCAAGAAGTAGTTAAACCTCACAACTTTATATTGAAATCGGGAGTTCATTTTCTGTTACACGAATGATCCTCTCTTTCTCAACTAATTATATACATGAATTCTTTGGGACAACAACCAATTTTCTGAACCCACAAATTCACAACATTGAATTGGCCCATGCATGGGGATGATGGTGAGTTGTTTAGAAGCTCAAGGTGGTGAGGTTTAGATTTTGAGGATTTTTGGGGAAAGAAAAGGGTTAAACTTTGGGGTAGACTTTCTGGGGAATTATTGTTGAATTTCTTGTTTTTGACATTTTAAATTTCTTCAGTTATCTATTATTAGGAATTTAGGAGAATTTTTATTATTATGAAAAATACATTTGTAAAGAAGAATAAAAAACTAGCTTAAGCATGTTTCAACCTCTGAGGCTGAATTTACTTCTGTGGTGCCTTTTCATAGAAGTTGCCAAACAATTCAGGTAGTTACTAGTTACCGCTGACGTAATTATGTTTTACTGCTTGTTAAATTTTGTGTTTTTAGAAACCAGCCTTGAATTGTCCTTCTCACTATCCGGAGTTATATTTTTCTTATCATAACTCATCTCTACAGGTGTTTGTGGTTGTCACGACCTATGTTTTTTTCCCTTCAATTTGTTATTATCACAATTGCCATGGTTCTTATTGTCTATTGAGCACTGTACTTAACAATTTTTCTTGATTTTTTAGTTGATCTTGTCATCTTGACTTGGTCACGTCATTTTTCTATAAGTCACTCCAAAACCTTTTATTTCTTACAGTCATTCCTTCTAGTATCCATGTGATTCCTGCATGCACATCTCATCTCTGCTCTATGTTTATTGTTTCTATTGTTTGATTGGTTGATTTTGATTAAATGGTCTTCCTACTTCTTCATTTTCTTAGTATGTTCTTTTTTTCTCGAGCTACTCTATTAGATCCAGAATATTGCCTCATTTTCGCATGGACAAGATCAACATGTTGGTGCTTCCATAAAAACTACATTCATGGCAATATGTTCCAATAATTTTATATGGAGCTTCTGGCAAACATTTTCTTCTTGGCAATGTCCATGCATATGCCAAAGAGCCATATTTTTCTGATAAAATCAAGTTTGTGTTATCTAAGATGTCAATTCTTTTAATATTGAACCACTCTTAAGGCATTGTAATCTCCAAAAGCTACATAATGGATCCACTAAGCAAGTTTCTTATCTTAAAAAACTTAGCAATCTGCAATCCAAACCCAGTTCTATAAATATATAATTTCGGATTTAAATTTAAAGCGTTATTTTAGCTAAATGGAATAACCCTAACTCCCTAAGAACACCTAACAGAAGAAATGAAATTAATGCTAAGAGATTACAGAGATTAAAACATGAAAGAAGGCGGATGACAAGTTACTCTGACCCTAAGAGTATCTGCAAAGAACTCTAATTTATAACATGAAACTAACATTTCTGGAAATGTCTCAATCGAAAAGTATTTAATTTTACACTTCAAAATATGACATGTTAATTTTGATGTGTAGAAAAATATTGTCTTTTGTTTTTGGACCAAGCGCTAGCAAATAAGAAGATTGTGAGAGGTTGATATCTACTAGCTGTGAGACTGAAGCAGCGAAGCTATGAAGGTTTCATGTGAAACAGGAGATTATTTTGGGGCGAATTTTCTTAAAGTAGAGGGGGTAAGGTTAACAAGGAAAATATTATATAGAGGGAGGGTTTCACTCTTGGAAGATTTTCGACTTGGGTTTTCATGTTTGTGTCTGGGTTTCAACTTGGAGTTTGGTCTGAGGAAAAAGAGATGAAAAAGAAGGGGGGAGAGATTATCTACAATTGCAGCCTGAGGGATAAAGGGTCAAGTACTATCACATGTCTTGCATGTTATAGTTCTGACTAATTAATTAAGTTTTGATGATGCTAATAAGTGGTGGTAGTGGCGGGAGTGTCTATATGCTAGTGTCACAGATGAGTAGTGTTAAGTTGCAACTGGTCTATATTACAGGGTTTCTATATGTAATTAAAAGTGTTAAGTTGCAACTGGTCTATATTACAGGGTTTCTATATGTAATTAACCCTAATAAAAATACATATTTTTCTTTAATAAAAAAATGGAATTATGTACCTAAGAGAACGAATTGTGAAGTTTGGATTAAATTAACGCTTATATAAATTATAAAGCATGGTTTATCTAAAAGAAAGTGGTGAGGTAAAAAATTATATGATAAGATTGATACTTCTTCAAGTAATTGTACAAAGAACAATAGGTTACAAAGTTTTTTGTAAATTTAATTATGGCCACACTTTATCTGGAAAGAGGTAAAATCAGAAAACTGTATGATTAAATTGATACTAATCTCAAGTATGTATCAGAAAGAGAACTTTCTTTAGAAAAGACTTGTGCATATACCTGCATATTGATTTATACCTTTCTGAAGTTTGGAACATCAACAGATCAAAATTCTACTTTAGGAAAAATTGACAGGTATAAATCTTTTTAGCATATTACTTGTGGTGCTTACCGTGTCAATTTATACATTTGAATAAATTTATACTCATCATCCATCATGTGGTTTCCTCTTTTCTTTCTTTCCATTAACTTCTATTTCATAATTGCTTCATTAATTAGATTGGAGGGCTCATTATCTTAATGCCTCTGCCACACTACAGTGTACACTAGATGACAGTTAATATTAACTACATCTCATCCACTTCGTTCTTTTGTCGTGCTAATTTCGGTTTTGCAAATTGTAGCATGACTTCACTTCAAACTTTCTGTAGCGATAACTTAGTTTCAGGTAGGACAATTCTTAAGTTGTATCATGTAGTCTATTATTCTTCCATTTCTCATGTATAAGCTGCTTTAGGATAGTGTATTTTGTTCCTTCCAGGTAACTTACTTTTATTATGAGATATGATCTTGTCAATTTTCCATTAGATCTCATGATTCCTTTCTTTTTCTATATTTATAACTTCTATAAGAGTGATTCATTCCGAAGTTTGATGTCTTGATAAAAGTTCTCAATCTGTTGTTAAGACCGATTTTTGTTTGTCAACATTGCAGCATGCTCTGTACATCATTTATATAGCTGCAGGTGTTTTTGCAGCTGGATGGATAGGTAAATTTAATTATGAAGTTTCTGCGTTGTTCACATGTTCTTGGTTCACATTTTTGGACTTGGTTACTGAACTTGCATAAATCGGATAGAGGTCTCATGTTGGATTCTTACTGGGGAAAGACAAACAGCAGTGATCAGATCAAGATATGTCCAAGTACTGCTCAACCAGGATATGAGTTTTTTTGACACTTATGGGAACAATGGAGATATAGTCAGTCAAGTCCTGAGTGATGTCTTGCTCATTCAGTCTGCTCTTAGTGAGAAAGTATGTACAAATACTCAAGTGATCCATCTTGTGCACTGCTCTTACTTTTCCTCCTAACAAATTGCATGTTTAGTCCAAAAGTAATCTTCTTTTGCCATCTGTTTGATATTACAGGTTGGCAATTATATACATAATATGGCGACTTTTTTTGGTGGTCTTGTCATTGGGGTGATCAATTGTTGGCAGATTGCACTTTTGACTCTAGGCACCGGGCCTTTCATTGTTGCTGCTGGAGGAATTTCAAATATATTCCTTCATAGGCTTGCAGAAAATATTCAAGATGCCTATGCAGAAGCAGCAAGCATAGCTGAGCAGGTACTTTCTTAATGCGAACTCCGTCAACTTGCATATCAGTTTGTTAACCTTGAAAGGATTGAATTGCTTGAAAGCCTTGCATTATTTTGATGGACTTGTTGCCTTTTGTTTTATTTCCAAGAACAAGTTTAAAATATCAGTGTTTTTGGCATGCTTAAGTTAACAAGTAGATGCTCTCTCTCTGTGTGTGTGTATACACAGACACACACTCACACATATAGAAAGAAGTAGATGCTATGTCACATTTGTGTCTTCAGCAATGGGTACTGATGTTTCTTGATGTGTTTGATTTTTACATTTTGAATTTTTAATTAGAAGAGTGCACACTAGTGTAAAATCTGTAATCAATTGGCCTATATGTTCTTTACTTGTGCTTCATATTTTAAGAGATATAACTGGTTATCATTTCTACCTTCATAATTTTGCAGGCTATATCTTACATTAGAACTCTCTATGCCTTCACTAATGAGACATTAGCAAAGTATTCTTATGCTACGTCTCTTCAAGCAACATTACGTTATGGGATATTGATCAGTCTTGTGCAAGGGCTTGGACTTGGATTCACATATGGACTTGCCATATGCTCTTGTGCTCTGCAACTTTGGGTCGGAAGGATTCTGATTTCACAGGGTAAAGCTAATGGTGGTGAAATTATCACAGCGCTATTTGCAGTGATTTTGAGTGGCCTGTAAGCATCTTTAACTTCTTAAGATTATAATTTGTACAACTGCACATTCTTCTTGCTTACATTTCTATATTATTTGCAGTGGATTAAATCAAGCTGCCACAAACTTCTATTCATTCGAGCAAGGAAGAATTGCTGCTTATAGACTGTATGAGATGATAAGTCGTTCAACATCCAATGTGAATCAGGATGGAAATACCTTGGTTTCAGTACAAGGAAACATTGAATTTCGGAATGTATACTTCAGCTACCTATCTCGTCCTGAAATTCCCATACTGAGTGGTTTCTACCTAACTGTACCTGCTAGAAAAACTGTGGCACTTGTTGGCAGGAATGGTTCTGGGAAAAGCAGTATAATTCCTCTTATGGAGCGTTTCTATGATCCCACATTGGGTGAAGTTCAACATCTGCTTCTCTTTTGTGCACATATCATTTTGATTGTTGAAGTCTAGATCGTATGATTAACTGAATGGTTTTTTTTTTCCTCGTCTTTTGGTGCAGGAGAGGTCCTTCTGGATGGAGAGAATATAAAGAACTTAAAGCTAGAATGGTTACGGAGTCAAATAGGTCTGGTGACTCAAGAACCAGCATTATTAAGTTTGAGCATCAGAGAGAACATTGCATATGGAAGATCTACTACGTTTGATCAGATAGAGGAGGCTGCGAAAACAGCACATGCACATACATTTATCAGCTCATTGGAAAAAGGATATGATACCCAGGTAGAGTGCACAGTTTCAAATTATCCACTGTGTCACTATGTTTCATATTCCATCTTTTAATCCTTTCCATGCATATCTAATATGATGCATCTCAGGTTGGCAGGGCTGGCTTAGCTCTGACAGAAGAACATAAAATAAAGCTTTCTGTCGCTCGAGCTGTTCTTTCAGGTCCATATATTCTTTTACTTGATGAGGTCACTGGTGGGCTAGACTTTGAGGCAGAAAAAGCTGTTCAAGAGGCATTAGATATACTAATGTTGGGACGATCAACTATAATTATAGCTCGGCAACTTGGCCTTATTCGCAATGCTGATTATATAGCTGTTATGGAGGAGGGCCAACTTGTTGAAATGGGTACACATGATGAATTGCTGACACTGGATGGCCTTTATGCAGAACTTCTCAGATGTGAGGAAGCAGCAAAGCTCCCCAAAAGGTAAACTTGCCAAAGGACGCACCTCCAGTTCTTTACTGTTGCCTTCATAAAGTTCCATATTTGCATCTTATCTGTATAGTCCTTGTTCTCTAACAAGTGCCTTCTCAAGTGTGTGGTCTGACTTGATTACCTTCTCTGTTCTCAATATGATTCCATTTGCACTTTTAATATTTATCTTTGCTTGCGTTGTCTTCGTGTCTTACTGTTGAATTAGAAACCTTTGTGGCATGCACTACCTATTACAGATCATTAACTGCATTATCTTTGCATGCGTTATCCTCTACAGTTCTTTGGCCATAATGCTATTTTGGACCTCTGTTAGTTGGATGTTAAAAAGCATGTGGTCCTTGTATAATCCACATTTGTGCTATACTGGGTCTGGTTTGCTGGCATGATTTTTATGTAAGATTATATTTAAACATAAAAGAAAATTAGAAAACCATTTAGATCGTTGATAATAATAGTAGTAATAGTTTAACATGACCGGAGCATGTATATATACATGCCTGAATAGGTGTACAGAAACTAGGCCAATAAAAATTGCACCCTGAAATTTCTATCAGTAAAACCATTTCTCAAACATTTTCAGGACGCCTATCAAGAATTACAAAGAGCCGTCAGCTTTTCAGGTTGAGAAGGATTCATCAGCAAGTCATAGCTTTCAAGATCCATCTTCTCCCAAGATGGCAAAGTCACCCTCCCTCCAGAGGACACATGGATTTCATGCATTTCAGCAGTCAGATGCTAATTACAGCGCTCATGAGTCACCAGATGTTCAAAGCCCACCTTCTGAGCAAATGGTGGAAAATGGGATGCCCTTGGTGGCAGTAGAAAGAGCACCATCTATCAAAAGGCAAGATAGTTTTGAAATCAAATTGCCTGAGCTACCCAAAATTGATGTTCAAGCTTTACATCGGCAAACTTCAAATAATTCTGATCCAGAATCACCTATTTCACCACTTTTGACATCTGATCCGGAAAATGAACGATCCCATTCAAAAACCTTTAGTCGCCCCCTTAATCAATTTGACGACTTCCCTGTTAAACAGAGGAAGGCAAAGGACTCACAGCACCAAAAGCCACCATCATTTTGGAGGCTTGCACAGCTCAGTTTTGCGGAATGGCTTTATGCACTTCTGGGGAGTACCGGTGCTGCTATTTTTGGTTCATTTAATCCGCTCCTTGCTTACACTATCGCACTTATAGTATCAGCATATTATAGACTTGATATCGAGGATATACGCGATGAAGTGAATAGATGGTGCTTGATCATAGCATGCATGGGTTTTATCACTGTGCTTGCTAACTTTCTGCAGCACTTCTATTTTGGTATAATGGGGGAGAAGATGACTGAGCGAGTACGAAGGATGATGTTTTCAGGTAATGATGCGAGATTTTTTCTTGGCAGTTGTACTTTCACATATTTGTAGCATATCATGTGACTGCAGTGTAGATTGATTTTATCTGATCACTTGTAACTTTCAGCGATGCTTCGTAATGAGGTTGGATGGTTTGATGAAGAAGAGAACGGTGCAGACACATTATCCATGCGTTTGGCAAATGATGCAACATTTGTGCGTGCTGCTTTCAGCAATCGACTTTCTATATTTATACAGGACACTGCAGCAGTTCTTGTAGCCCTAGGTATTGGGATGTTGCTGGAATGGCGAGTTGCACTTGTGGCATTGGCAACAATACCCGTGCTTATGGTTTCTGCTATAGCACAGGTATTCACTATACATTATACACTGTGATCTTTTGGACATTATTGAGTTATCTGTTTGTTGACTTGTTTTTTTATTGATCCATCTTGCATTGAACTATCCTTACACAAGTCCCTTTAACTTTGGCTTATTCTTATTAATTTAGTTCAGATGTGCATTGCATTCCAAGTATCATCTTTCTTTGGGTGTCACGTTCCACAATTCAAATTGGAAAACGATGAGGGGATTGAAGCACATATCTCAATGGAAGGATTGTAAATCACTTATACTAATCTCTCATTCATTTATGAACTTGGCATTTTGTTCTGTTAATAAAACTAAAAGTTGAATTTCAAGTCTAATTGGAAACTGACTGGGATATCCAACTGAGCATTTCTAGTAGTTCACCATCCTAGTACTATGCCTATCCAAGCATGCTTAATGGTGGATTTTTTCAAACATCTTTCCTCTGTTAAAAATGCGGAAGTTAGATTAGTTCTTAACGTGTAGAACCATGATATACATATGGAGACTATGAGATAATATGGTAGTTCCAATTAACCACGGGTCAAGGTTTAGTTTAAATGTAACTAGTACTCCCGGTGCATGCAATGTGTGCATAACATAGTTCATATTTATGTGAAAAGAGTTAACAGCTTAATAATTGATGATAAATTAATAATGACTTCAACATAGCAAATCCGTGCATTACATGTTACACACTCAGTGCTAATATAAATATTTGTATGAAAACTTATTGCAAAAAGTGACGTCTCACAACTTAATAATATCTTGTGTAGAAAATATTTTTCGAAATGACGTGTGTTAATCAGATAACAACTAATATCTTTGTTAGCCTTCTAACTAATAAGAAGCAACCATAAAAAAATTAAAGAAAAGAAAAGAAGAAAAAGAAGAAGCAAATAAAGACATTGCTCAGATAGAAATTTTTGACATGTGAGCAATATACGTAAAAGAGCGTGGCAAATTAAAACAATACCAAATAAAATGGGATATAAATTATAATGGTAGGATTTAACATATCAAATTGTCATAGTTCACAACAATGAAATAGAAATACCTGTCAATTAGGTTAGGATTGATTAGAAGAGGTGGTGGATGTCAACGAGGTCGAGGAGTTGAAGCGGTTGATTTTGAGTTCCCATGAGAAGAAAGCGGTCAATCTTTAGCTTCTTATCATTCTTCTTGTCAGAATCGTCCTGAGTTTTCGTTTCCTCTTAGCTTGATGACTAGAATTACCAATGCCTAGTCGATTTCTCATGAATTATCTGTATGTTGTATAGGCAATATGAATATTTAATGCATATTTTTCTGTGATATAAAAATCGCTTGCATTGCCCAGAATTACGAAAGAGGAGTTAGTGTCTTTTCTCAAAAGGGAAACCTATGATTTTGCAAGGAAGCCTAGGTTACATTCAATCTGAGATTTGTCAAGAAAATCAATTGGGGTATCATGTAAAAGACCAAACTAATTTGCAACGCGATGAGGGTTGTATGCCTCTAAAATATAGGTGGGACTACTCTTATATGGAAGCCAACTCATTCTGATACTAATCAGAAAATCCATCTTGAGATTTAGTTCTGCTACAGAAGAACTGTCAGGAAAGTCCATCTTTAAATTGGCGTTGTTTTTTGTATTGTACCAACACGTAGCGGTGGCATGACAAAACAATGTTTTTGCTTGATGGTATTCAAGAAAAATAAAGAGAAGTCATAAGAAGAAATATTTGCATAAATACTCCCTGCTATAGCGACCAATTCTGTGAAACGCTTTCTCAAATTTTTTGGAGCAAGGTTTGTATACAAACTCGGGATATAATACGCAAAGAAACTGAACAAGTAATGTAGAGGAAGAGTCACGTTGTTCTGCCTTGAAGCCGTAGTGGTTGAGACCTCCTGTAATCCATGATAAATGCAATGTAGTGTAGGTGGAGTAAGTGATATCTTTATTCCTTGAGCCATTTTATTAGCCATCACGAAGGTTTCAGGTTTTATAGATCTTGAGCCAAAAGGCAAGACAAATGAATTCAACCATAACGTGGAATAAGCAGTTGAGAATGTTTCCTCATCAAATCCTCGCGGTGTAACCTTGTCCACTTTATTAGGGTCTCCGGTGTAACCTTGTCCACTTTATTAGGGTCTCCTAGAAAATTCAAGCATATTATCTCCCATATCAAGGGGATTCCTTGGGTCGCCCTAACCCTTCTTAAGTGCTCCATTTGCAGTGATGGAATGAGTGATCCACCCACTAAAACCCACACTTGATTTCCTAGACTTTTCTCATTGAGTTAGGCCATTTCTAAATCTCACATTCCTCCTCTGTAGACTCCTCCACTTCGAATAATTCCGAGTTAGATGGAACATACTCATCATACTAATCCCTATAACTTGGCAAGCTTGAAATCACCCGTAAATCCCATAGCGTCATTGTCCACTCACGATCTTGTATGATACAAATATTCGTCTTATGATTCCAATTTGCAGCAAAGCCTTTCAAAAATTTTGTGGTAGTCATTTCGTAGTTAAACAATGAGATATACACAGCCCTGTAAACACCAGATTTAATAAGAGTGTTCTGTTCTTTGATGAGCATATACCTCGTCCATTTTACAAAACCTCTGATCTTGTTGTACCAGATTTAATAAGAGTACTCCGTGCTTTGATGAGCATATATCTTGTCCATTCTGCGAAACCTTTGATCTTGTTGTATTTTGGTGCGTCGTGGATGCAAAAAGAGGTGCCTCATTACTCTGCCTTCTCTTACGCTATCTCTCCACCTAATAACTTTGTTGCTTAGCAAGCTGATCGGGTTATTGCATAGTTGTAGCACTCAGATCTCTTGAATTTTCAGTCTCCTTTACTCTCTCCTTTGAACAATAATGCAGTCGCTCTCTGAACTAATAGAGTCTAATCCTCCACATTCTCAATGAGAGGTACAAGCTCACAGTTTTCATATTCCCAAGGAAACAGGTTATTACAAAGGAAGAGCCTGTTGTACTTGTCTCGGCCATCCAACATAGAATTGACCTATTTCCATTTGTCAAGCTTAAAACAACCATCGCAATCAACATCTCTTACGTAACGCTTGATTATGCGAGGGGCGTTCGGGTGATTGAGTTCCATTGAATCCCATGACCTGCAACAACTAAAAAGGCCTCATAAACATATAAGCGGAAAATTTCATGATAGCAATAAAAAAATATGATGTATACAATGGGCTTCTCATGTATAGCTAACACTGAAGAACCCCACTGGGGGGCATTTTTTGAAGCTTTTTAAAAAAGCTACAAACTAGCTTCATCATTCAACAAGATTCCTACGGTTCCTGATTTGTTCAAATAAAAGAGAGATGTGGGCAGGTAGGGGTGAATAGTTCATATCGAGCAACATAAACAAGGAATTAAATTGGACTTTATTGGCTATAATAATGTTAACAAATTTAAATTATTGCTATAAGGGGTATTTACAAGCTGTGGATAACTCACAGAGAATTGATGCACATTGGTTCTCGAATGCACTCCCATAAAAGAAAATTAAACTCCAAATTATATCAACATGGTGATAACAAGAGGATAAAAGAGCTTATATGTTGGATGCTTTTTTATCCAATAGCCTATACCAAAGAGGATGAGCAAAAGCAAATTGGAACTGTTTGCATTGAATTTGATTTTTATCAAATCTATCCACAACATCCAATCAAGTTTAGAACCCAGTTAAAAAAAATCCAATCTCATAGGGTTGAATATAAAGTAAGATTTTAAATTAGAATTCACTCTTTATGAGACATGTTAAAAGAATAGATATTTACAGTTTGAGTTTGACATCATCTTCCCAATAAATCATATATTATCATACTCATCTAATTTAGCCACCGCCTATAGCATATCATATATAAAAGCCTCGGGCGATCTTAGAAAGGAAAAAAAAAGAAGAGAGACAAAAAGAAAAAATATCGCTGAATTGCTCCACAGAAGAACAAAGCCTAAAGCTCCTCTTTCCCAGCAAAAACGATAATCAGGTGTTCTTGCTTTGTTTCTTTCTCATGTCATCTCATTTCAAGCCTAAGTCTTCCAGCCATCTTCCCACCAAATAAACATAAAAAAGAGGAGATACCATGGTGTTTGTTCTTAAGGGCAAAGAGAATAAAATGAAAAGAAATCGTCATGATTCGGAGTTTTTGTACTCCTTATCTTGAGTTTCCTTGGTCCTAATTTTGTGATTATATATTTAAAAAAATAAGAAACTAGAAAAGTTAATTACATTAAGATGAGAAGTTAGCCGAATCTTGCAAGCAAAATAAAGCGTAAAGAATCGTCGTTGGGTCATGACTAAATCAAAAATAAAGGAAAAGAAAAGGAGAAGGAAAGAACCAATAATTGACTATAAAGATATTGCGTGAGTATTGTGCCTATCATGATGCACGATTAATGCGAGTTAACTTTGACAATTGATAAGAAGAAATGGAATAAGAGAATTATATGCACCTTCTCAATTGCAGTATATGCTCTCAGCCGATTCGTTCCTACAATCTTTAAAAATTTCACAAACACCTATGCGACATTATTCTTAAGATTTCAAGCCTAGCTATGTTGCTAACTTATAGAGTTTTGCATTGGTGAATTCAACTGGAAGAGGATGTCTAATTTGAGTGTGGTTAGGAAAATTTTAAGTTTGACCTTTACGTCACTGAACTAGGCTAAATCTAATTTGATCTCTACGTCGTTAAATTATGCCAAACCAAACTTGACCTTCATGTCACTAACCTCTTTCAAATTAAAATTGACCTTTACGTCGCTAAACTGGAATTCCGAATACAAAATTGATATCTATGTTACTAAACTAAAATCTCAAATCCAAACTTGACCTCTGCATCTCTAAACTAGACTCAAAATCCAAACTCTATTTCATGTCTCAAAGGCAAACCCAAATCCAAATTCAATTGTCGCATTTTTAGTATAAGATTTTACATGAAAGTTGTACATTGGGGATATGCCCCTGGTTAAGCCATGTATATGATCTTTTTTTTTAAATAAAATTATGGTGCTTTCTTACTTTATGAGTTTTCTTTTATTTTGATGACATTTGTTGACTCTTAATTGAAGGTTTTTTTTTAATAAATGGTAATTAACAATAGACTCTTGAGTCTATTGGAAACCAATAACCCACATAAAAAATAAAACTCTCTCCTGTAAGGTGAATTTGACGGGATTGATATGCAAATCAAAGTTATCTACCTTAATTGGATGTGCCTGATGTGCCTATATGCAACTAATTAAGATAGACAATTTTGACCCTACAGGACCTAGGTGGATTTCTTTCTTTTTTTTATTCTGTTTTGGTTTGTTTAAGTGGTGGTGAAGGTGGTTTTGCTGAAGGTTGGAGTGTTGGGAAGAAACCCCTATGCCGAGATCCAAACAAATAGCCGAGAGAGATAAACAACCACACCAAACAATAGCACAAACACAGTCAACACCAGATTTTACGTGGTTCGGCGAGATGCCTACGTCCACGGGGCAAGGAGGGGGGAGTTTTCACTATTAGAAATCAAGGGGATACAACTAGGGTTACAAATCTCTCATAAACCCTCAACAAATACAACTAGGGATACAACTAGGGTCCACCGCCGCGGTCGACCGCCAATCTGTCTTCCTGAATCCTGCCATTTCTACATGGAGGTGGTGAAGGAGGTGTTCATAGTTGGTGGAGGAGGCCGTAGGAGGTCGGAGGTGGTAATGGAGAGAATCACGACCAAGATCTAAATGATGCAATCCGCATAAGCAATCCATGCTTCTTAGGTGCTCCAAAGAACTAGGTGGGCGAACTAGGTACTGCTTAGGCTTAGTCGGGCTAGGCGCTCACTTTTAAAAAATATTGTCGATTTGCATCTAGGTTCTTTTGGGTATGGGTGTCACTTAGTTTCTATCAAGCGAAATGAGAACTTTGGAGAGCAATTCATGAAAACTTGAAAAGTGGGTGGTTCCCTAAAAAAATGTTGGCTATTTTTATATAATTTAATGTTCGACCATATATGTTGATGATCTAAACTGTTCACTGTGACCTATATACAATTGAAAAAAATCACAACGATTGCAAATTTCTAGTGTATACATCTTATGATCTATAAATGAACGGCTGGTAATTTGCTTGACTCGCAGGTTAAAAAACTCAAAACACATAAGTTTCGGTTCACTTGTCTTTGATGATGTGCGAATAACAATGAATGGTTTGGATTAACAATATGGATGAGTGCCTCCATTGGTAAATGATATGGATCAGCAAATGCATATTGATAATTGTTAACTTTTTAGTTGCATGCTATGTGCATTAACCTTGCCCATTTGTGTGTGTATATTTGTGTACGCGCTTGCCACCTTATTTTGTAAAATGAGCTAGATGTGACTAACATGTTGGGCCGCATTGTATCTCTCAGTTGCTTATTTTACTAAATCATCTATCAAATAGATTCGGTGTGAACCCCAAGAAATGAGGTGATAGCTCATTTCCATCATCTGCTATGAATGTGTGTGTGAAATTTTTGGATCTGAGTATGCAACATCGGACATGACATGGGTTTTGTAATGATAAAGAGCTAAAGCTTTTTGTGACATGTATAGCATTAGTTGTCCAATACATCTTATTCAAATGTTATTTACTGGTTATCTTGTGAAAGCTAGCATGCTAGTTATCTGTGGGAACTTATGCCTAAATGTTCCGGGTGCTTTATACTCAATTCTACATGCATAAAGCGCTCGCTGGTCTTATTCTGTATATTAAATTTATTTAACTGATAATAATTACATAACAGTAATAAAAATTGCAGAACATGTGGTCTTGAATTATGATTATGATGTACTTGCAGAAAATGTGGCTTGCTGGGTTCTCAAGGGGCATTCAGGAGATGCACAGGAAGGCTTCTTTGGTCCTCGAGGATGCAGTTAGAAACATCTATACTGTTGTGGCATTCTGTGCAGGCAACAAGGTGATGGAACTGTACAGATGGCAGCTTGGAAAAATACTCAAGCAGAGCTTTATTCATGGAATGGGCATTGGTTTTGCCTTTGGCTTTTCACAATTCCTTCTCTTTGCCTGTAATGCTGTTCTTCTGTGGTATACTGCTGTATCTGTAAGGGACGGCCATCTCACAATTGCCACAGCGCTCAAAGAATACATTGTATTCTCCTTTGCCACCTTTGCGCTTGTGGAACCTTTCGGGCTTGCCCCATACATACTGAAGCGACGCAAGTCTCTTGTTTCGGTGTTTGAAATTATCGACCGAGTCCCAAAGATAGATCCCGATGATACTGCTGGCCTAAAACCTCCCAATGTCTATGGAAGCATTGAGCTCAAGAATGTAGACTTTTGTTATCCAACTTGCCCCGAGGTCAATGTACTGAGCAATTTTAGTCTTAAAGTCAGTGGAGGACAAACTGTAGCAGTTGTAGGTGTATCAGGATCTGGAAAGAGCACGATTATTTCCTTGATCGAGAGATTCGGGATTTGAAGCTATTTAACGTGAGATGGTTGAGGAACCACACGGGTCTAGTACAACAAGATCCCATCATCTTCTCAACAACCATCAAAGAAAATATTATATATGCGAGGCACAATGCGACAGAGGCTGAGATGAAAGAAGCAGCAAGAATTGCAAATGCCCATCATTTCATCAGCAGTCTTCCTCATGGTTATGATACTCATGTTGGCATGAGAGGAGTCGATTTGACTCCTGGGCAGAAGCAGAGAATAGCCATTGCTCGAGTTGTGCTGAAGAATGCTCCCATTTTGTTATTGGACGAGGCTAGCTCAGCGATTGAATCAGAATCAAGCAGAGTAGTGCAAGAGGCCCTTGATACCCTAATCATGGGAAACAAGACGACCATTCTCATAGCACATAGAGTAGCGATGATGAGGCATGTGGATAATATTGTGGTTCTTAATAGCGGCAAGATTGTAGAACAGGGAACCCATGATTCTTTGGTTCAGATGAATGGGTTGTATGTACGGTTGATGCAGCCTCATTTCAACAAGGGTCTTAGGCACAATCGGTTAGTTTAAACAGCTCCATTTGATGGTTGTGTAAATTATTTCCGTGTAAATTGTTGAGTTCTCACTCTCCCGTTATGGGCTATCGGAGATGTGAAAACCCCCATCCGGACCCAAGAAGAGAATTCTTTTGATGGAGGTGGAAAATGTGCATAAGGGTGGATTGAGAACTGCTTGTTGGCTTTGTAACAAGGTTTGGTATTTGGTAGCTGACAGTTTTCAGGATTTAGGATTCAGGCTAGTTTTCGGGTTTGAGAGATTATTGGAAACTCTGGGTTGCATTCTTTTGGGAGGCTTGTATATGTACTTTATAGGGATGATGCTGCCTCCATTGTCCATGTTGTATTTAATTGTTAGTGTAAAAGCTGAGATGTAATGTTATGATATCAGTGTCGTCCTTTGTGGAGGGCAAGTGTTGTACACCAGAAGCTGCTGCTTCTGCACGTTCTGCTTTTTAACTTGCACATCAAGTTTCATATCCAGAAAATTGAAGTTACTGGATTCATGAGCGGAAATATACCATCCTAGTCCTAGTTTATTGATTCCTGCTTCGTTCTTGTTTATGTGTGGATCAGTGCACTTGTGTGTTTCTACCATCTGAATACATTGTGCGCGCGCATCATCGCTTTTAAATCAGGTTCAAGAAAGGATTTAACCGATTTGGATGGATATTTCCTGCATTATACGCATAAAAGCAGCAGTACTGTTGGTGATATTTGCTTCAGGTATTGAGATTGTTTCCTTTATTACATTGATTTCTTTTCATATTATCATTGCCTTGCATATGCCTGCTGTCGCAGTGTTTTGGCATGAACCTGGGTGTGAACTGAAGAGGTAAGTAACTGAAACAAAACTGCATATTTGTAGTTAAAAGCTAGCAATAATATACATCGCATCTGAAGAGGTAAGTAACTGAAACAAAACTGCATATTTGTAGTTAAAAGCTAGCAATAATATACATCGCATCTAAATTCTAACATGACAATGTTTCAACTGCATATTTGTAGTTAAAAGCTAGCAATAATATACATCGCATCTAAATTCTAACATGACAATGTTTCAACGTGTCTCATTAGTGATACTCGACATCTATGATTAAGTAGGTGTTCAAGTGTTTTCTTGTGATCTTGGGGACATGTTTATTTGTTCGATATTCAAATTTGCAGGACATGTTTACTTCAAAAAATAAGTTCGCAGGACATATAAACTATTCCTTACACATGAGCAAAAATTTCATATCATGCGATCTTTTGTTTTGGTGTTTTTTTTAATGACACGAGTAACCGATAGGAGGTAAAAGGAGATCATTTCAGATGATATTTATATGGAGTCGCTGGTAGAGAACATTAATGCATTCAAAAAATATTACACCGAGTTTACAGAAACTCTTTCTCATCTGTTCCTTTCTTCTGACTATTATCCAATAAATGGGAACAATTGTAACGATTTGATTGTATGAATATATTGGATAATGTAGTCTCTTTTCAGCTCTTTGTTATGAGTTCTCATTGCTTAATGTGTGACTTTCAGGAGCATCTATAGTCTGTACATTTCTATCACCCATGGAGGATTCTCCCTTATAATTCTGTGATCCTTCATGCAGATCCTCCGAAAGACGGTGACCTGTCATTCTCTCTTGACCAGGATCTTCTCTTCGTAAGCTCGCCAACAAAGCAACAGGCGAAAGGGATGAGCTACAGGTACTGATATCATAAAGAACACCCATTCTACAAAGAGGGCAAGTAGAGTGATCTCTGAACCAAGTATCAATACAAGAAACATGAAACACATGAGCACAGTTCGGTAGCAATCTCAACCATTCATTTTCTTTGAACTCTCCTAAGCAAACGACGCAATCTTCTGTTTCTTGGTCTTTAGCTTTCTTGATCTCCTCTTTGAATTGAATGACTGGAAGTGAATGAATAACAGCAGAAGCCAAGCCGACGCTATGAATGTGCCATGGAGTTTCACCGAGACTGTTGTCTATTGGAAGCTGCATTTGATTGTTTCGGTGGGAAACGGAGGGGAAGAATTGTTTTTGGATGAGCTTGTAGCATTGAAGAATGACAAAGATTGTGCAAACTGTGAGAAAGAGGTAGATTAAGCTTGAGCCCCAAGATGGTAGTAAGCTTGAAAACATATTGATTTCTATAATAGGCTTTGAGTAGGGGCTTAGGTTTTGTATTTGCAAACATTGCAGATGTAACCAAGGTAGAATTGAAACATCTTTTTGGATTAGTGAAGATTTTGATGAATGAAATCTTGGTTTTCTCCAAAACCTCAAGACACTTGGTTATTGGATTTGTCTTATTTACACTTGGAGATGGTTCAATTGTTTGGTTTTCTGATTGTGTGAGCAACAAAAAGAGTATGGAGATTATGGTTCTCATTGGACTTGCATGCGTTAATATTGTACTTGTGCTTTTCATTTAGAACAAGGAAAGGATTTTTTCATGGTATTCAGGGTTGCTTTCATTGTTGTTCTTTGTTTCTTTTCGTATTAGAATACAGTGAAGGTAGGCGTTAGGTTTGATGCGTCATTTAGCGTAGTGAAAGTGTGAATATTTAAAGAGATTAATTCGTTTTACAAAGTTAACCTTTTTCCATCCTACTTTATAATCAAGCCAAGTACGTTGGGAGTTAATTTTATCATTTGTGGTTTTAAAAGGCATATACATTCAACAACCCACAAGCTATTTTGGGGAAAATTAGGAGAAAAAGAAAAAAAATTTGTTTCCTTTTTCGTCTTGTCTTATTCATATTTTAAGTACATGAACTTCACATGTCAATACTAGCTTTTTTTTTTGATGAGGGGCACACGTCAATACTAGTTAGTACGAAGGAATCGTCTCCAACAATATATTAAAAATAATCATCCAATAATGAAGAAGAATACGATGCATGTTTTACTGTCAATTTTAAATTAATACATTCATTAATATTGCAGGGTCTGATAAACTATTTGAAAATGTGTGCAAAAGACACATCCCAATTTCCTTGTTCCGTCAATGATTTTCTAATTTCTATAGAGTATAGAGGCTCCTAAAGATTCCTTTTTTTTTTCTTTTCTTTTCTTTTCTTTTCTTTTTTCCACCTCCGAAAGGAAATCATAAATTTGGGTGCATAGTTATCTGTAGGACAACATGGGCCAAAGGCCCACATTCATTTTCTAGGTCCACTAAGGCATGCATAAATTTATCTATTAACGTCACAGTGAATATTATGCAAAGTCTTGATGCTCTTTTAATAGCCAGCAGGATGTGAGTGACTTATGACCACATATTTTGATGATGGTTGCGGGGAGCATGTAACATGGATACCAGGGATCTTGCTTGGTTGGACATCTAAAGATGTTTCTTCATTTTAGTCAAATTGTCAATTCAAACCATAAAGAATATTGAGGCGTTTTATACATTATGAATGAATTTGCAAGTATAGATATATATATATATATATAAAGATGGCGAGAAGGTTGTGTAATTTAACAATCTAAATTATCATATTGGATTCTTAAATAATATTCGATAACTTATCGGGTCTAACTATGAATCATAGAAACATGTATATTGTTATTGGATGTCATGTATCTATGAAACTTTAGCGATCTAAACAAATAAGTTGATAAGTACTCATATAAAATAATTGATACTTGAGGGGCGGCCTAATAGGTCACATGGCAAAGCCGTGTCGCTCTCTTGTAGGGAGTTTGGGTTCAATTCTCGTCTGCGCCAAAATCGCTATAAGAAAAATTGATACTTACAAATTACAATGCTATTTAATCATATCGAAACAAAATTAGTGTTGTCAGAATCGAGAAAAACCAATACAAAAGGCAATACGAATTCTTAAATTTATATTTATTATTTATAAGATTTGATATATCTAACAAAAAGTATCACATATTAGAAATATCTGAAACTCAAGTGCAGATTCAATAATTTTCTGGATTTGGATTAGAGATACAAAACGAATACAAATATCTACGGACATATAGTTTTGAATAAAATACGAATTCGAATATGGATACCAAATATCCAAATATCTGAATATATGTATCTAAAAAGCAACTGAAATTATTTTGAATTTTAGATTTATAAATTTGAGATCAGTTTTGATGGTCCAGATTTTAACCTTAGCTTCTCGAATCCGTCTATCATACTGATGGACTCTCACTTAAGAATATGTCTATCGATTTTGTTCAAGCTTATTTATTTTCCTTATATCCATTTTATATCCATACATATTTCTATTTATTTTATTTGTATCTGTATTTGATATTGGCAAATATTGACTAAGTTTTGCCATATACATCCGAAAGTAGTAAACCGAGACAAATACTCTTTTAAGTATCACATGCGGTAAGTATGGCATCCGTTACCCCCAATTACGTCCGAATCAGACCCGGCCCGTTTACATCATGCTTCTAGAAAATTTTTTCTTACTCAGGTTTGGGAATGGAGCTCTCTCATTATTATCCCCACAATGAAGAAAAAGAGTTGCACGTGATGAGAAAAAAAAGAACTGGGACAGACACTCTCATTGAATTCGCCATAGAAAAATACAACTGAGAAAAGAGAGATAAAAAAACAATAATAAAATTAAAGAGCGCCTCAGGAATGATGAAGGTTTTTGGATCTCAGATCTCACTGCATTGTTCGGTTGAGTGACGGTGGACTCCTTTAAATAAACTCTTTATACAAAGAGGTTTGCTTCCGTGCTCCAAAAATAGGCTTTTTTTTAATTTTTAAATTGACAAAAATAACAAATGAGCTAAAATAAGAAAGGGTAATTTAGTCTTTCAAAATTCTCTTCTAATTGCTTTCTATCCTAAACGCAACCACTCTGTTGTTTTTTTCCTTTCTCATCACATGACATAATTACTTTAGAGTCTTTTAATCATCATCCAATGCCTTTATAGAGGCGAAGAACAATGAGCATAGCATAGTGTTCTATATAATTAAAAAAAATTAAAAGGAAAAAGATGGGGATACCTTTCATAGCGCCCCTTCACGAGAAATTTTGGAGAATAGGATGCGTCGTTGCCTTTTATAAACAATATATAAAAGGTAATTAATCAAGAGGACAAATAAGACTAGCAAAAATTAGCTTATAAACTAGGGAAATAGGATGAGTCGTTGCCTTTATCTTTCTTTGAACTATGGAAAGTGCGGTTGATTTCTCCCATGGACAAACAGAACAAAGCTACCTACCACCGAGTAAATGACCAAGACATCAGAATGAATCTGTGGATACTAGTGAATGTAAGCAATTAACTAATTTCCTTCAGCAATCAAAATTAAAAGTTCTAGTTGAAAGCACAAGAGCAAAACCACGGTAGAGGATTATGCTAAATTGAAATTAGTTAGTTGAAGAATTGTAACTAATCAACAATTCGGTTTCTCTCCTAAATTGTATTTCCTAAAGTAACCTTTTAACCTGTAGTTAATTACAATTTTGGGTGTAGAACACCTCCTAACTACCAAATCTATCTATCTAGAAATGTGAGAGCTATCTTTAAGGAATATATTTACATATATGCCACCAGTGCTCTAACAATTTTTCATGGAGCACCGAAGCTGTAGGCTTATACAAATGGCTTTAGGGTATTATATTTAGTTCTTTCCAACTGTATTGTGGCTGGCAATTAGGGTGCTAAACTGTACCCGAATCCGAGGAAATATTCGTAACCGTATTTGTTAGGATATGGATATAGTTACTCAAATCTATAACCGATAGGATATTGTTAAAGATATGATTTTGTAGTGAAATATCTGTATCCGTATCTGAAATATCCGAAAACATATTGGTCATACTTTTATGATAGTTTCGATTATTAGATTATGGATTTGTGGTTAATTTTGATGATCAAGATGTCTAATCTTAGCTTTTCAGTTATAATGGACATATTAACGAACTCTTTTGTATCACATGAACTATACTTTTCTCAATACTATTTAGTTTTCTCATATTTGTCTTATATCCGCATGCATATCCGTTTATATATCCACATATATATTCGTAACTGTATCCGATTTTGACGGACATGGATATGAATTTTCCTTACTGAGCTATATCTGTATCCATATCCGTTTTTGAGATGGATAAGCGGATATGAATATGGTAAGCATCGAGCCGTATCCGGACCGAATGCACCCCTACATAGAAAGGTCAAATTTTGAAGAAAACCCATTTTAAAATTTAGTTACGAAAACCTACCCACTTTTTGTTTAATGACAAAATTTGACCCATTTTGGCCATTACAGACAAAAATGGTTCCGTACTTGGAAATTAATGTGAAATAATCGAATCCTGGGTCGCGAACAGTGATTCGATTGATGATGAAGAAAGAGAATTCTTGGTTCAGTTCTCCACCTTAATGACAGAAAAAAGGATTCCAATTGGACGATCCATTAATTCAATTGGAGGAGGATTTTAAATGGATAAATATTTTTGATTTTCACTGGAGACTCACAACTAGATCTATTCCGTGAACAGTCTCTTTTTTAGCCAAAGTCTCTTTCGAGGCACTCAAACCATCTCGCACAGAGCGAGAACCATTCATAGTTGCCGATACCGAGACTATACTGATCGATAACGAACATAAGCCTTATGCAGTAGGTCTCTTGTTGTTTAATTTCCATGCGATTCTCTTGAGTAGCTCCAAAGAAGAACTTTTTTTTTTCGATTCCATCGCTTCACCGAAAAAGGATTGCTAAGAATCTAATGGACGTGCATACTCTTATTGAGAATAAGCGTGATTTTCGTGACGGCATTTGACAGAGCAGCAGGAGCTGGATCAAGGCATACTCTTATTGAGAATAAGCGTGATTTTCGTGACGGCATTTGACAGAGCAGCAGGAGCTGGATCAACCAATGAGGCTTCGGGCTTTTTCGTGACGGCATTTGACAGAGCAGCAGGAGCTGGATCAACCAATGAGGCTTCGGGCTTCGAAAGAAATAACCAGGGATACCATCCCCGGCTATTACTCTTTCTGCAAAGGGCCCGTTTGGATAATTGAAGTACTGGAAGTATGAAATATGTTATAGAAGTAACTTTTAAAACTATGAAGGAGGAAGTAGTGGAAATAACATTTTTTTTTGTTTCATATATTTTTAGAAGTAATGGAAGTAGAACTTCCTCCTCTTCATTTACTTTTTTTGTTTGGATAATATTTAAAAATATTACTAGGAAGTAATTAACACATGTTGCTTCCACAATTCCAAAGTCACGCTACGCTCTTTAATTCGATCTAGCACGTTACAACCAGTTTCATACCAATATGACCCCTCGTCACTTGAGAGCAAGAAGAATCATTCAACCATATAGCTTCAAAATAATTGTTTATCTCTCACCTACAATGAGACTTCGGATGACCATAAAT